TACTTTCCTATGCAGTCAAATATAAAAGCCTCTTATGACAACCTCTCGTACAACTTTTCAAAATTATATAAAAATGAAGAAAATATTACCCAGTTATTTTTCTACTCAAAATGGTCTCAAAATACAAAATGATCATTTAGCTGCAATTTCCTGTTTATTGAAAAAACATATTTTCTTGTATCTTCCTTTCCTTCTCTTTCTTTCTTTTTTTCAACTTTTCCTTGACAATCAATAAAAGCTATCCAGAAATCATTTTCTTTATAACTAAAGATAGGGTGTGGAAGTCAGCTCTCCAGCTGTTTTGAAACATCTCCAATAACGCTTTACGGCCTATAACTAAAGGCTGTCATACCTATGGCCAAAATAACAAAATGGAGAGCTACTAAACCTCATCTAAATTGTATGCATTCCACTTATTATTGCTAGTATCACTGTTGTTTATATTATATGAGAATTGTTTCCCCAAATTCACCATCCGATTAAATAATCTAAAAAAATATTATATATGTATGTATGGAGCTGCAAGTGAGAAAATATTTAACATTTAAAAACAAATAATTTATACAATTGAGGTAATGTCAATATCGTATGGATCCCTATCCACTGTCCACACCATGTGTGGCTGAAGGGAGCAGGTAAAATAATTGTTGAGTTTCCTTGACATCCTATTAGCCAGTTGGAGTCAGATTGGGTGGGGATTGGTTATATGCTTTTCCATCTATTTCATGGGCTGTACCCTGGTATGTTGACAGGTTTTTAATGCAACCCCTACTAGCCAACTTTAACCAGTGTTTAATTCTCCCTGTCAAATTAAAGGCCAGGGGATCCTTACAAACACAAAGAATATTAGAACTCTGAGAACAGACAAAAGCTTAGAGAAACTCAGTATTTTGCCCTTTGATAAATGCCACTGCAGAGACAATATATTCTGTAGCATATCAGACTGATACCACCTGATAAGGGCAGTCCAGAATCTGAATGCAGGCAAGTTCTCTCTGCACAAACGATGCAGAAACCCAAGACTATTGGTTCTGTCTTCTTTGAGCCTTGTTAGTGAGGTGTAGCTGATACCTCTTTGGGCAGAGTGAGCCACATCTGAATTATCCTTTGAACTTAGAGAGAGCCAAGTTAATGCATTGCAAAAAAAACACAAAGAAAATAATGACACAAGTGAGCAAAAACAATTTTCAGACACGTGCAGGGATTTACCGAAGGGCAAGCCACTGAGTTTCTCTAAGCTTTTGTCCTTTCTCAGGGTACTCATATTTTTTGTTTTTGTTCCAGTGGATCACTAAGCCCATTATATCATATAAAATCATCTATTTCTTGAGGATGCAGGAAGAATGATTATTCCCGTCAGTACAAAACAGTAGACTTTAACCAGTTAAGGACACATGACATGTGTGACATGTCATGATTCCCTTTTATTCCAGAAGTTTGGTCCTTAAGGGGTAAAGTGTCAATCTCAATAATGTGCATACCAAGTAGATGCCAATATCTCTGGCATGGGTTTCTCATATAATAACAAAAATAAAAGTTCATACTTTTTTCCCATATGCACAAAAATATTCTGATTTAGAGGTGTTTACTTTATACTTTCCATTAAAGCAAGGTCTCTGATAAGCGCAGGAACCCTTATATTTTGACTATTTAGATATATATTCTAAAATAAATCTTTAAGGGGCACTTCAGGCTAAAGCATGTGAATTAAAAAGAAATATATATATAAATAATGTGCTAAAACATACTGAAAAACAATAAAATGGGGACTAGATCCTTTGTGGTTAGTGGGTATCTGAAAGACCCTCTATTCTCTTTTGCAGTCATTCTGCTGTTTGCAGTATAAGTAATGACGAATGTGCTACATGGCTTCTTCCCGATAAGTAGAGTATTGGGGATCAATCATGCTTTTATTAATGTTTATTTATTCTAAATTAGTACTTTGGGAGTTTTCTGTGTGTGGTTCATGTGAGGACACCAAGTGCAAATGACTTCAAATTTCATACATGACAAACTGACCTGGCTCGATGTTCTAAGTTGAGGCACAGTAGGAACGTTGTGTCTGGATAACTTGCTGTATAGTAAATGTGCTTTATTTTTAAGTGTTCTTGACTTGATCCAATTTGTCAGCATGATTCGGCTGCAAATATGTGACTTTGGCATTGTTAGATAATAGCCAACTCTGATCTTATTCATGAAAAAAAAAAATGTTTCTCAGTCAGTCTCAAGTGAGACCGTTGTGACTAGCCCTCCCCCCACCCCCCCCAGTCTGGTTTCTTCTCAACGACCCCTCTATCTTTTGTATCCTGACAGTAACTTTACTATTGCTCACAACCTTGGGATCAAGGGATCACACTGCAATCTCCATCCCATTATATAGGACTGGATATACAATCTGTAGCATTTGGGATAAGCAGATAAATGTCTCCTAAAAGCTTCAACCTGAATCGTTTTGTATGTATACTGTATAAGAGGTATGCTTTATTTAAATTTGATTTATTTATATATATTGTGTAAGATGTATGTTATTTGAATTATTTTATCATTTTATTTTATACAGCCCCTATTTAACAGTTCTAGCTATAGGTCTTTATTTATAATCAATACTGTTTTTCTAAGCAGGGCCAGCTCATCCATAAGGCGGCACAGACAGCCGCCTTAGGGCGTACCGGCTCTGGGGGCGCAAGATTCCTGTGACTGCCAGGAGGAAAGCACTCCCTAGTACCAGGCCACCTTCTGGACCTACTGGCGCGGCTTGCAGCTGTGGTAGAATCAGAGGAAGCGAGGGAGCTCTGATCTCCCTACTCTGCTTCTTTGCGCGCCACTTGCTGATGCCGCGGGAGCCGGAATATAATGTCATTCTGGCTCCCGGCATCAGTAAACAGCCTGTGAGGCATGAGGGAGCAGAGCAGGGAGATCAGAGCTCCCTCACCACCTCTGATTCTACCACAGCCGCAACCTTCACATCAGCCCACTGGACCCCAAACTACAGACCCACGCCAGCTCTCCAGGTAGGGAGAGAGATACACAAAGGTGGTGTTACACACACAATGGGGAAAAAAATAGGAGAAACGATACATTAAAGGGGGTAAGACATTTAAAAAAGGGCATAAGAAACACAAAAGGGAGGTTAAGAGGTATGAAGATGTTATTTTTTTTTAAGGGGGGGGCGGAAAAATGCATCTTCTCCTATGTGCCCCAAAATCCTTGCACCAGCCCTGCGTCTGAATGTATCAAACTAGGTTTAGGATATTATGTTTTTAGTTCAGCTTATTCATACCACCCCCTAGTCTACACATGCCAATCGACCCTTGGTATTTTCCACAATAGAGCAATTTAACAGAAAACTCCCCATTTCTAAAAAATATGTAATGTCTGCTAACTTAACACCATACTAGTTGGCCCCCGACCAGAATGCTGCCCACACTTCTCGGACACAGATTACTTGCTATTCATGTTCCATTTGTAAAACTGATTTTATTGCTTGTAGTTGTTACAGTACATGATGGTTATGTACATAGAGGACATCCAGGTTTTATATGCTAAGCCTTTGTAAGTGTGAAGAGAGTGTTACAGCTGCCGCTATGAATGCATTCGGACTAGAGGTCACCTAAGTTTGCTCACCCTTAGCACATGTTGTTTAAAGCAACTATCTGCTTACTATAAAAATAAATTCCTCCCTTTCTCACCTCACTGCTTTTTTTAACATTTTGTTGTTGAATTCCGGGAAACCACAATTAGCGGTTACCATAGAAACAGTCAATAATCTGGAAATTATAAACATGTCACAGCCATAAACACCAATTAATCTGTTAATTTACACAACAACATACAGCTGACAAAGCACCTTCTATGTAAAGGGTTAAACTTTACCAACAGATAATTCAGGCGATGTTCCTTTGTTTAGTACATAGACATTGATATATTTATTTATTTATTTGTTTGTTTTAAAGGGTATTTAATTTGGACTGCACTGTAATTAGAGTTATATCGTTTTTGATTATTTCATAATTATTTCCAGATGTGTATGGCATGCGGCCAACATTTGGTGAACGAAGTATGAGATGTTATCTTGTATGCTGAAGGACTAAAACTGAACAAAATCAAACCCTTGAGATATATAAATACAAACAATAATTATTTAAGTGATTAATATGATAATACTACATATATAAATAAAATGTGCATATATGTTTGTTTGTAACAGAAATATGTCTCTATAACATTGCATCTGATTTTATGTCAAGACACTGAGGCTTATATTGCTTAACCCTTTCTTTACTGTCCACCAATAGCAGCAAAGAATACAAACAGTAAGAAAAAATGGTAACCATAGTGATAGACCACTCCCATACCAAGTCCCAGAATAATAGTCAGCACCTCCCCACACTTCCTCTTTCTTTGCTGCTACCAAACAGATAAGTACATGACTAATTTCTTCCATATTATCATTGCCTTAATGTTATGTATACTATTTATTTGCATTATTGATGGTACCTCTCATTATTGCTCTGTTGCTACCTGTACCATTTATTTGCTTTTTTGCTTGAAGTTTTCATTATTTATTTTCCATATGTTTTATGTTTCCATGTTTTATCCTCTTGTGGATTTTTATATTGTGTTATCCTTTGAGCCCAGGGTTCCAGACCTCTTTAGGGTATTATTATCAGTATCCCTATCACTTGAGCTTCCCCTGTTGCTCTTATCTTTTTTTTCCCTTTACCTTATCTTTCTCAGGCTGTCTGTGACTCCATTGCTCCTTCTTCCTGTCAGACGGTCTGGGCCCTATTGAGCTCCCTATCGCTACCCTCTAATAAGGTATAGCTAGTCTGGGGTGATAAACAACTGCTAGTTTGTTCTCTCCCTGTCATTTTCGTTTTAGCTTTCAACTCCCTGCAGCATATATTACTATTTTATATTTGGTGTCATTGTGATATCTCACAGCAATTTTATTATGCCCAAGTCCAAAGTGCCTGCCACGTCCCTTCCCCCTGGGGAAATGGATATACCCCATGCTTTGGTTAACCCCTCTGCCAGCTCTGGCCCCCCTTCCTCCGCAGGTGACCCTATGTCAGTACCTGACGATGCCCAATCCCTAGCTCTACAGCGCTCCGTTACGGATGCCATAATGGCCGCCATGGGCTCCATGTCCTCGGCTCTTTCCCAGACTATTTCACAGGCCTTACTGGCACGCCCTTTGGCCGCAGAAGGCTCGGCCACGCTGACGCGCTTACCGCATTCTGCTTTAAGCCCTCTAGGGGATGTTCCAAGAAAGGCTACGGCCAAATCCAGGCACTTAAGTCCCCCTGCCTCCAGAAACAATACGACTGGTGTGACTATATCCACCCATGACAGCGTGCCTATGTCATGCAAGAGAGCCTTTCTGCTCCAATCAGAATGGGCACGGCAGTAGAAATGTGCTAGAGCACAAAAAGAGAGTGACTCCGACTCAGAAATCGGGTCTTGTGAGGAGGCTGATGCTGAGTCCGTATGTGACTCCAATGACGACATTGGTGAGCAGGACACTGACCCCTTTGCCCCTGCTCTATCGGGGGTTGGTAATGAGTGGCTGGCGCAGTGACTCCCCCGCTACCACGGGTTCCGCCCTCATGGATCTGTCTGGGGAACCTATTTTTGACCCGGATGCTCTCCATCACCCGAGGTTGGCAGAATGGCTACCAGCGGACCATGTGGCTAAGTACCTAGAGAACTGGGTACGGCGCCACCTTAGCAAGGCGGCGCGCAACAAACTCAGGGCAGAATGTCCTAGACCCCTGATTCCCAGTAAAGTCTGTGAGGCCCCTATTGTTGACCCCAAAATGTCCCAATTTCTTTCAAAGATGGGATGGACAAGGGATTGGATTCTGCTTTAAAATGATGCCAGGACAAACACCTGGACATTTTTGGTCCTTTGGCCAAATTGTTTGACCTAGCTGAACTAGCCAGAGCCGAAAACAGGCAGGTTGATCCAGAAGAACTCCGTGGCTGGGTGCAGAGGGCGATCTGCATAGCAGGCAGTCTGAACACCTCCCTGTACATTGAGCGGCGTGAAGCCATTCTCTTTAAAATTGAGCCCAAATTGGCTAACCTCGTTCTCACTGAGGCGGACAAAAACGCCCAGGGCCTGTTGTTTGGGGAATCCTTTATAAAGGATCTGGGGTGCTGTGTGGGTGCTTTTACAGCCCTGGACAAGGCTTAATCCTCTATGTAGAGGGTATTTCAGGGACAGGTCTCTACCAGGGCCGGCAGATTCAGGGGCCGTCTGTCCGGCCGGTCTAATTACCACGCCCGTGGATCGGGACGAGGCTTCTACAACCATAGACCATCCTACCAGACGAGACAACAGTCCCCTTTCTTCCCCTCTCGTGGGAGGCCATGGCGCTCCAGAGGCTTCAGAGGGAAACCCGGTTCCAGACGCCCTTATGGTAAGCTTACATTTACCTCATGTTTTTTTCCCACAGCTCCTGGAACTGGCGATAGATGTACCCAGACTTCTGCCATCCTGCCAGGATCTTCTGCTGGACCCATTGGGCCAACGACACCCCCTCCTAATGGACGGGTCGTTGCTGCTACTTGCATGGAGGATTTCCGGAGTCCCTCGGATATCCAAGGAGTTTCGGATGCAACTCTACGCCTCCTGGCCGTTGCATGGGCCCCCGGCACTAGACGATCATATGGGACCGCTTGGAGAGCTTGGACTGGCTGGTGCCTAGCTCGGGAATTGGATCCCGTTTTGGCACCTGTGACAGCAATACTCCAATTCCTCACTTCGTTATTCGAGGCTGGTCGGGCGTATCGCACGATTAACCTGTATAGATGAGGCATCTCTTCAGCTCACCAGGGTTTTGACGGCTGTCCTGTGGGCCAACACCCCTTGGTGTGCCACTTACTTCGGGGGTTCACGCCTGTCACGTCCCCACAGACCTCGATATTCGGCTACCTGGGACGTTTCCTGCGTCTTGTCACTGTTTACTTCCTGGCCTCCTAATACGGACCTCATCCTGCGACAACTGTTGGCCAAATTGGTTTCCCTGTTCTGCCTCATTTCGTGCAAATGGTCTCGGATGTCAGTTAACATCTCCAGACGCACTAAGATGACTATACGTTCGGTCTCATATACGAGTTTTCCAACTACCCCGGCGCTATGTCCTGTGACCTGTTTGAGGGAGTATGAACTTCAGACGAGTGCCCATCGTTCGGCCGCGTCCCCTCAGCTCTTTCTCTCGAATCGTCAACCCTTCGCCCCGGTGCCCAGCACTACCTTGGCTCGTTGGGTGAAATGGGTGATGTCACTGGCCGGTGTGGATACATTCATCTTTAGTGCTCACTCCACACGAGGGGCATCAGCCACGTCTATGGTGTCTTTGGGAGCACGTCTGGAAGACCTGATGAGGATGGCGGAGTGGTCCCGCGAATCCACCTTCAGAGAATTTTAATTTTGGCCTTCAACACATGTTTTCTCTTCGGTTATTGATCAGTTTTAAACTTGCAATATGAGCCTCCGTGTCTTGACATAAAATTACATGATTTTGCTATTTCATGACGAAAAGTCATGATTTTATGAAAGACACGGAGGGGAGTATTGTCCCACCCTTTTATTTTTCTATCATTGTGTTTCCCCCCCCACTGTTGTGCTATGTTATATCTCAGGTTGGTAAGTATTTCACTGAGTTCAACATGGTATTTTATGTGCATCCGTACTGTTAATGTTATGTTGGCTTGGTGGTGGTTCTCTTGTCTGACATTAGGGGCACTATATGGTTTCAGTATATCAATATATTATGGCTTGGCATGAGCAATTGGTTTTAGTACCGTTTTAACGCTTGGGTTCCTGTTTTTTATGTTTTCACAGGTTGATTCTGCGCTGTTGGTGCTGTATAAAAATCCTCACTTCTTCCCAAGACTTCACTACATTGGCTGGAGATCGGACTCCCTGTTGTTGACACTTAGTCATTTGTTGATGGTTTAGTCCCAGTTCACAGATGGTTCCTGATAAGTTTCCGGCTGGATTTCGGGATGGTTTGGTCTGCTGAGTTCTGGACTGTTCATTGGTTCCTGTTTGCTGGTTTGGTGTTGCATCTCCAAAGAAAGAGGAAGTGTGTGGGGAGGTGCTGTCTATTATACTGGGACTTGGTATGGGAGTGGTCTATCACTATTGTTACCATTTTTTCTTACTGTTTGTATTCTTTGCTGCTATTGGTGGACAGTAAAGAAAGGGTTAAGCAATATGAGCCTCCGTGTCTTTCATAAAATCATGACTTTTCATCATGAAATAGCAAAATCATGTAATTATACCTTTAACAAATAAGTCTAAATCAGAATCATGGTGATATAGCCCATATATTTACTAATACAAGAGCACTTTCAGCTAGAAGTCCAACCCTGAAATTTAAATAGATAATTTTTTACTACTGGGTCAGGACCCAATAATGGGTCATGGTGATATTTTGGTGGTTCTCCATGAGTTGGATCCATCATGCATATTTCTTATGGCACATTCACCTGTTTACAGAAAATGATTAGCTATGACACTGCTTTCCTTAGTGCTGAGGGCTTTGGCGCTGGTAAGTAATGTATCTAAAGTCTTCACAAATGTATTTAAATATAAACAGATGAACATTGGATCATTGCACTAATTTAAGCTAGGTGAACACTGAGATGGCACGAAAATGCCATGTATGTCATTTGGACCTCTGGAACACAATTGGAACAGTTGACTTGAAGATTTATAAGGTTCAAATGTAATTTTACAATCCAAATGTCTTTCTGATCTTAGTTACTGACCACGACCTCCCCCTCCCCCCCATCACCACAATTTCTTTTTTGTATATGAGAAGATCAATCAAAAGCTCAGTCTGTTAATATGGGGTCTCATGTCCATGTTTCAAATGATTATTATGTGTGTGGGATTTTTCAGATCTGAAACAGGAAGTTTGCTGCTCTCCTTTGCAGTGCTGAAATAGGCATGGTAATTACTCAGTGTTCATTAGTTATTTCAGAGCTGGTTAGAATGGGGGGTGAGGGGGGGGGGGCAGGGAGAATTTTAACCAGCAAAGGGCTGCATTCAAAGTAATTCTGTCACCTTTGGGGTCCTTTGCATATATTGTAAAGACACTTAAAGGACCGCTATAGGCACACAGCTCAATGAAGTGGTCTGGGTGCCAGGTCCATCTAGGGTTAACCCTGCAGCTGAGAAACTGCTATGTTTACATTAGGGTTAATCCAGCCTGACAGCCGCTAGAGGCGCTTCTGTGCTTCTCACTGTGATTTTCACAGTGAGAAGACACCAGTGTCCCTAGGAAAGCATTGAGAAATGCTTTCCTATGGACTGACTGAATGCACGCGGCTCTTGCCGTGCATGCGCCTTCAGCAGATGATGTTGGAAGAGGGAGGTGAGTCCCCAGCACCGAGGAAGCCCAAGACTGGAGAAAGGTAAGAATTTAACCCCTTCCTTCCCCTTCAGCACGGCGGGAGGGGGGGCCATGAAAATTAGTTTGGGGGCCAGGAAATTAGTTTTTTTTTCTGGCACTATAGTGGTCCTTTAACAGGGTCTTCCCTGCTTGCAGTGCAGTGGCACAGGGCTGCAGGATGCAGGGGATGGTATGTTTCACTTACCTGATATGCCCCTCGCAGCCACCACCATTTATATCTGGAGATATCTATATTTGGAGATATATATTCATAATAATAAATAATAATAATAAAAATGAATAATAATAAAAGTCAAATATTTTTAGTATTTTTAGCATCTGTAACATCTTTTCTGTTTTTTTTTTACTTCTTACAGAGAAGGATATATATAAGAGGAGATGTAGAGAGAAAGAAAATTACACATGTTATACTATGAGAAAGGGAGCATTCATAGTACTTGGAACATTTTATGGAAAATCTTCCAGTGAGAATCTAAGCAAAAAACAATTACGCAAAATTAACAAATCAAGAGAACTTTTAAAGAAAGAAACAATGTAATTATTGTTAGGACTGTTCTGTCCTCCATTATTAATGCTCATGTCTTGACCCCCTTAATGACAACAGATATACAGGGTAGGTCATTATGCACTTAAATGGTATCTTGAAAACCTCAAGGGAATACAACTGATCTTAAGATAGTAGTGAGGGTATTTTCTAGGCCAGTACAGGAAGAGGGAAAAATAACATATTGAAAGCAAGCAAGACTCATGGAAAGCACAATGTTTTAAACCAGCACTGAAATCCTTTTATAATAATTTATGACTGTATTTAACCCCTTAAGGACCAAACTTCTGGAATAAAAGGGAATCATGGCATGTCATACATGTCATGTGTCCTTAAGGGGTTAACAAAGTTTGTGTATTAACCAATGCAGAAACTGAGAAACACCATGCATAATTTAACTTTTACAATAATAACATTTTAAAATTTAACTTTAACAAGTATGCTATAATTTCAAATATCTTTGCCATCTATCCTTAAATAAGGCCTTGAATGATCAATGTCAGCTCTATCTGCTTATAGTACAACGTACAGAATATATAGAACGGACAGAGGCTGGCAGTGACCAAAAGAAACCAACAACCAATGAAAGACAAACCATCTGTCTGTTCTAACCATGGACACATAGACCTATAATATTATTTATAGGGTCTCACATCTGGCACCAATTTATTGCATTATTTTGTGTGTTTTTTTTTTCCTGATTTCTTTTCTGGAATGCCTCAATATACTTATTTTAGTTGTGTGTCTGATTGTGTCTCAAATAATGCTGTAGGTGTTTAAAGGAGAGAAACATACCCAGAATAGCAGAATAAAGGATTACTTTTTTTAAATTGGAAAATAAAAATAATGACCAACAAATGTACTTTTCTAAACACCCGTAAGAAAGAAAGAACATGTGGTTCTTGATTTGGGGTGAACCCAACTTTCAATAAATGAAAACTTAACTCATGTCTCTCTCGATTTATGACAAGGAAGATGTTTTCAATTAAAGAAATATATATATAAAGAAAAATAATAATAAATTAAAGTATTTTTATGATAATTTATACCACATTGCAGTTTATGTAGAAAATGCATGTAGTGTGAAATAATACAATGCAATATAGAGCTGGAAAGTGGACATAAAATATACATATTTTTTATATAAGATTGGCTGTGCTGGGCTAAGTATAGCTGCTTGCAAGTTAGAGCACAGACAAACCAAGAAAAAATGCTAAACAATAAACCTATTCAATTTGGCTTTTCTTATAGTAAGTAAAACATTTTGATTACACATTCTGGGAACAAACATGTTCCATTTGTTTATAACCCTTAATTTTTTTTTTTTTAAATACAAGACTTTATAATTCAGCGTTTAGACTGTGCTGTAGACACATTCTTGCTCAAAAGATGCTTGACTCATATATTGCACTGGGTATCAATCTAGACAATTGACGCAATAAATCAGTTCTCAAGAACTATTAGGGTCCCTGGATCAAGGGATTATCAGATAAAATAGTGCCTTCAGCGCTAGTTTGATAGCCTCCCCTATGCATGTTAACGAAGCCTTCATTGTAACTGAGGCTTTACATCTGTTTGTGTCAAACACAAAACATTACATTATTCAGAAAAACTCACATTTGTCAGAAATAACATGAAATTAAGACACTTTACAGAAAGCATTTTGAGAACATAAAATCTACACAATTATGTGTTGGTGAGCCCTGTGCACCTTCTCTGTATCTCTTTCATCTCTTCTATTGCAAATTATTTCGCATATCTTATCTTAGTAATATTGTTTTTTTTCAGTTTAATTTCCCCTTTTTTATCTTTACATATCTATTTCCCAATTATCTAAGTCTAACTTTAATCTATTTCCATCTACACTCGACTTCCTACATTACAAGGTAATTTCTCCTGACTGAGGACTCTCTTGTCAAGGAAAATATATTTTCCCTAAGCACCAAAGATGCTTGCAATATTAAATACCTTTTCTACACCTTTAACACATCACTTCGCCCCATTGCTGCTACCTACTTTACAGTTTCCATCAATACAAACTATGTACTTGAAACAACTGCTAAAATTAGACAAGCAATATTGCCAGCTTCTTTTCCCACGCTCAACTTATATTACTCCTCATCTTTCTGTCCATTGCCTCTATCACCAGAGGAGGAGATCTATACACTTCTGTTTCCTTTATCTTATTCCCTCACATCTTGCTCGGTCTATGCTCTCATTTTACCCCTTGCCAATATCTCTAAACTCCCACTTTCATCTAGTATCTCTCCTACATCAGTTTTCCATACAGAGTTATGTGTTATCAAATTGGCCTTCTCCAATCTGATTTTTGACCTGAACACTCTACTAAATTAGCTTAGGGACCAGGATTTAATTTCAAATGAATCCAAAATTCACAATTTTCTTCTAATTTAATTGATCTTTCTGCTGTTTGCAACACTGTTTATCACCAAATTCTTTTTCTGAGCAATTGTATTAGATTTCTGTATGCTCTTTTTTTTCTCTTGTCCGTCTCTTAATGGATAACTGAAGATTACTGATTTTTATAGGGAATAATCACATTTCATTCCAAGTCACCATTTATTGTAATTTCCACATGCCATGATCTACAGATCTCTCCACTCAATTGACATGTATCATATTTCTAGGCATATTTAATTTAATATTTGTTAGAATTCATCAACAATCCCTTATGTAAAATAGTGACGTAGTTACATATTTTGTGCAATATTATAATATTATTTTTTTCTTTTTGTTTTTTCTTTCCAATCATATCACTGTGATAAAAGTGATATTGCCGTGTATATTCGTAAAAAATAATAATTTATGCTATCCATACATGTCTTCAATTACTCTGAAAAATTGTTTTTTTATTTATTAAATATAATAGATTAATAAAATTTATGTTTTCTTTTTTTTTTGTAAATTGTGTGCTAAAAAGCACTTATTAAAAAAATACTACTGTATTCCCATAATCAGCCACTTGGTGAGAGCTCATTTCAGGAACTCTAAGGAGAGTTTTTTTATTTTCAATATTTTTAAATTGTTTGTAGAATTTTAATACATTTTTCCTGTTTTACATTTTAAAATAATGTTAACACCAGTGCAGAGTATCTGAAGAATTTATTCTTGAATTTAAATGGTGTCAAAGTAACATATGCCATAACTATGTACTTCTTAAATACATTCTTGATTATGTCAATTGACACATCACTAGCTTATGGGCACTGAATAATCATGTAGTAGAAAGGAAAGGAAGTTGAAAGGCCATTGGTCATGAAAATGATGTAATATACAGGAATATCTACTGATGTTATGCACTCAATATGTTAAGCATGCCTTAAAACAGCTCTATTTCCTTGGTGTCCCCTAGATGGAGTATCCCCCTTTTGGTCCCTCCCAGCCCAGGAAGGCTTGCCTTTATAAGGAGTTCACAAACTGATTTCTTGTTTCATTTCCCCTTATCTTTATCGAGACAGAGTCATGCTGCTTATCAAGACAGGAAATCGATGGAATTGTGGACTCATGTAATTTTGAAGTTCTGGATTGAACAAGCAAATGGGGTATGTAGAGCTTCACTACACTTTGTAGTTTAATGCAAACAACAAAAACCTATGATGTTATTTATTTTATTAAAGTGGTCTTTCACCACTATCATATATTATTATTATTATTATTATTTTATTATTTATATAGCGCCAACAAATTCCGTAGCGCTGCAAGATGTTTCCTAAGTTTGCAGTTATCTCCATTTAAATGGAATTTCTCTTGGTTAAAAACTTGACACCATATAGTCTCTTAATCTTAAATCCAAGTTGTTAATGATATAATGTATTGATATGGCCTTGCGTTTAGAACCCTGAGACATGATGGGGATTATATAGTATGTTACATATGAACTGACTTTTAGGATCACACTTATCGATGTATTTACTAAGTACTGAGTGTTGAGTGAGCAAGTCTAGTTGCAAAATATTGGCTTCAATAGAGATGTTAGAAATGTTATTTTCAAGCACTATTTTTCTAAACGTCTGCAGCTAAATTATCCAGTCACCCAAATTCACATTATTATTCAATAAATAATATAACTGTAGATCAAACTGAGCTAATATTTAATCAACAGTGTGTGCCAATCTGTAAAGAAGGTATTTCAAGAACAGTGGCAGATTTAGTGTCAGTATTATTCACTATACCAGAAACTGTGAATGAAAGTAATCTCAATGTCACCCAGCTAGATCACAAATGTTTAATTCCTTTGTCATTTTTTCCATAGTTTTTAGATTAGTAAATAACTCATTAGATCCATCCAGAGGCCATCGAGATACATTGAAAAAATGCATTGATAAAGACTTTTAACCAATGATGTTCCAGATATAACAGGGTTATATGTTATTGAGTCTTTTGTTCTGCTTGCCTAAACAACTTGGTGAGCATAATTACACCATGTACACAGGCTAAGGCATGTGCAGCCATTACATTAGGGTGTGCACCCAGAAAAAAACTGTATTTGTTTACATTTTCTAATAATGGTTAAATTATAGGAATCTTAATAAGGTATCCCAATGATATTTTATATAAAAAATTATATCAAAGAGTAACCAACTACAGTATTATTATCAACCAAAATAACCAAAAGGTCCATTCCAACATTCTACAAATGACTAACCTCTTTCTGTGTAGATAGAATGTCAAGGCAACTTAACAAACAAGATGAACAGCACACACATGATACATATATAAAATAAGTATGCTAATACCCTCATGATGATCAAAGGACTAAGAGGTAAATACAGACAATAATATAATAGAATAGTACAGAATAAGTTGCATGTTGTTTAGAAACCATTTTACTATATATCTTTGGGCAAGTATGTCTACTAAAAAAGCTGGGGGTTGGGTATAAGCATTGACTTAACTGGTGAAAACATGTTTCCAACTCTCCATGAGTCACACTCGACGCATAGTGCTAAAATGAGTCAACCACTTAAGTTACAAATTGATGAATTGCATTGCTAATCCTTGTTTACTAAGTTTTTTAAAAACAGTAACAATACATACAAGGAAGAAAAAAATCACACCCAAACAAAAATGTTCACATCCCATCCCTCACCCCTTTGGGAATCATTACATTGACTTTCTGTACCCTTCAGGATCCAATTCAAAATGTTAACACTAACATACAAAGCCTTCTTAACTAGACAAATACAACCTTCTCTGCAAATGACCATCTCCTGACATCTGTTCGTTCCTTCACTGCCAACTCTCATCTACAGAACTAGGGGGCTGGACTTCTCCTTTGATTACTACCTGTCTCTTTAAGTACACCTGTGGCATCTTGCAAGTAGGCTGCTCGTTATCCAGCTATATAACACTGCCTCTCCCTGAGACTTGGGTCAGTTTATTGTATCCTGTAGCTTAAGACTGACTTGGCTTGTGAACCCTTCTTCTGGATCTTCGTTATTGCCTGTTCGATGCCTACCCTGACCTTTGGAACCTTGCCTGACTACTCTCCTGGATTTGCCCTTGTCTATTTCTTTGTACCCGGTTATTGTTCCTGCCAAGCCCCCGTGCACAGATTCACAGCCCAGGTAGTTTCTTACCTGGTTACCATGGGTTGTGTTTATCTGCAAGGGTGAGCAAATATTTCTGCACTTCGGATTTCAACTAAGGTTTATCATTTGGAACAGCTTATCATCTTCCTTGATGACACATCTCTCATTACAATTGCCCTCCATAGACCAGCTCTCTCTCTCTCTGTTTCATCTGTTCACTTGTTGCACACATCACTTTTACTGGCTTCTTTCAACACCGGCATCTTATCCATAAGTCCCAACTCCACTCTGACATGCTGTTATTTTGCTTGTGTGATGGATGGTGGTGGATCTTCAGCGAGGCAAACAAGACATTTGCTTTGGCCAGCACCTGCCAAAAAACAGGACATGGCAAGCTTTCATCCTCAGTCTAATTACCTTTATTTCTATTCCCATGTGGAGCTTAAATAGGGAAATGAATTAGTCTGAGAGAAACTGTAGCAGGATGAGGAGTCTCTCATAAAAGGCAGCAGCCACCATGTTAACCAGATCCCTAGTTAGGGAATCCTCCCAACTACACTCCCAACATCAGCTAGATCTGGCAGATCATGTAGCATCTCTCTATGGCAGCCTCTTTTCCTGGGTGTTACTTTGCATTTAAGGTATAACTTGGCTACACACAGACAATATGGCTCTCCAGGTCATTGGCAAGATATACAGCAGAGAAATACAAAGAAAATGGGATACAGCTGTATCCCATTTTCTTTATATTTCTCTGCTGTATATCGTTAGAGGTCGTTTGCGGGTTAACGACCAGGGGAGGCTGTTTCTTATTTTCAAAATAAGTATATTTTATACTTGCTCTACACATCAGTCACACGTTGGTGTTTGTATATTTTCATTGGCAAGATATACCAGGTTTATGTATTTATAGCTGATTTCCATGCTATACCAAGTTAATACATTTATAGCTGATTGCTATGACATACCAAGTTTATGCATTTAAAGCACAATGTCATGATATCCCAGATGGCACAGCAAACTGTAGGCAAAGATGACACATGCAAATTGTGGACAAAGATGGCACTGGCAAACTGTCTGGGTGTAAATATGGCACTGATACACATTTTTTGGACAAAACTGGCACTGTGAAGTTGTGTGGGGATAAAGCAGGCCCTGTAAAGTTGTTTTTGGACAAAGATTGTACTGTAAAGTTGTTTGAAGGCAAAGATAGCTTTTATAAGCTGTTTAATGACCGACATTTACAGGTGGACCTACAAGAGGAAAACATAGAGCTTTAAACGGAGGAGGTGGAGGGTTTACAGATGAAGGGGTTGGATTCCAACAGAAAGATATGTGGTCTTGACTGAAGGAGTGGGATGCATTTAGATTGGGAGGGGGGGAGTGTAAGTTTAGTCATGCATTGGGCAGCACAAATCCTAAATATACCACTGCTTGTGTGACTTAATCCGGCTTAAAAAAATTCATTATTTATATAGCTCTAGCAAATTCCATAGCGCTGTACAATGTGTGGACTCACAGACACGTAATTGTAACCAGACAAGTTGGACTCACAGAAACAGAGGGGTTGAGGGCCCTGCTCAATGAGCTTACATGCTAGAGGGAGTGGGGCAGGGCCGTCTATAATATTAATAGGACCCTTGGCAAAGCATTTTTATGGTCCTCCTGGGCCCTACATCCCCCCTCCCGCTCCCTGGCAAGACACATACGCTGGCAAACATACTGACACACTGACAAACATACTGACACACACACACACACACATACACTGACATACTGACACACACATACACTGACAGACATACTGACACACACACATACTAACAGACATACTGACAGACACACACTGACAGACATACAGGCAAACACACAGACAGACAGACTGACAAAGACACAGAGATATACTGATACACACACTGACATATTCACACACACTTTTAAGTCCACCTCCCGCTTCCTACCTTAAAGGGTGGCTTCCCTGGTGACCAGTGGTGGCTGAGGCTGTTGGGGGTTGCTGTTGGCAATATCAGCCCAGCCCCCCTCCTCTCTGCCTCCCTGGTGTCTCCCGCGTTGTTCTCTTTGGGAGGAAATGACTCATGGTAGTCACATCCTCCCATGCTGCCAAAAAGCAAGGGGGCCCGCTCGTGCTATTAAAGGATCAGAGCGTGACTGGGGCCCTGCTTACAAACACCCAACGGGTGGCCCATAGTGCATGGGCCACCCGGTGGGCCTCCTTAGTGTGCAGGGAGGGGTATAAGTAGTTGAGGGCAGCAGCGCCCACGGGGCAGCTGCCTTGGGCCCCCAGGTGTAACTGGGTCCCCAGGTGTAACTGGGCCCGGCGAAATTGCCCCATTTGCCCCACGTTAAAGACGGCGCTGGAGTGGGGTATAGTGACACAAAGGGTAAAGGTAGGGTTAGAAAAGGGTAAAGATAGGTTGTTTGGATAGTATTCACTGAGGGCTTAGTAGGGTATTTTTGATAGTTGCACAAGAGGAATCAGAGTGTCGAGAGAAAAAGCTGTTGACAGTTACAGTGATATGCTTTCCTGAAGAAGTGAGTTTTTAACCCCTTAAGGACTGGACTGTTTTTGCGATGTTGTACATTTGCGACCAGGCATATTTTTACACTTTTGTGGTGTTTGTGTTTGGCTGTAATTTTCCGCTTTCTCATTTACTGTTCCCATACAAATTATATATTGTTTTTTCAGGACAAAAGGGGCTTTCTTTACATACCATTATTTATATAATCTCATGTATTTTAATTTAAAAAAAATAAAAAATATGATGAAAAATTGAAAAAAATACATGTTTTTTGACTTTTACTTAAAAAATCTTTTACTCATCTACAAAAGCGAATGAAAAAAACTGCTAAATAGATTCAAAATTTTGTCCTGAGTTTAAAAATACCTAGTGTTTACGTGCTTTTTTTGCATGTTATAGGGCTATAGGTACAAGTAGGATATTGCGGTTTCAAAACATACATTTTTAAAATTTATCAATAGTGACATTGTAACACTATTATCTGTCATAAATCTCTGAATAACACCCCACATGTAGACAACCCAGGGTATTCAATATGGGGTATGTCCAGTCTTTTTTAGTAGCTACTTAGTCGAAAACACTGGCCAAAGTAAGCATTCATATTTGTTTGTGTGTGAAAAAAGTAAAAAAACTAAATTGAACGCTAATTTTGGCCAGTGTTTGTGACCAAGTGGTTACTAAAAAAGACTAGACATACCCCATTTGCAATACCTTGGGTTGTCTTCTTTTGCAAATGGTATGCCATCATGGGGGTAATTCTCATTCCTGGGCTACCATACGCTCTCAAAGGCAACGTGACCAACCTGGCCATTTTCAATGTAAAATATTTGACCCATATATTTGACCTTGTAACTTTCAAAAATGCTATAAAACCTGTACATGGGGGGTACTGTTTTACTCAGGAGACTTTGCTGAACACAAATATTAGTGTTTAAAAACTGGAAAACGTATCACAACAATTATATCATCAGTAAAAGTGCTGCTTGTGTGTGAAAAATGCAAAAAAAGTCACTTTCACTGACAATATCATCGCTGTGATATGTTTTACTGTTTTGAATCACTAATATTTGTGTTCAGCGAAGTCTCCCGAGTAAAACAGTACCCCCCATGTACAGGTTTTAGGGTGTCGTAGAACGTTACAGGGTAAAATACAGTGCTAACAAATTAAATTCTCTGGAATTTCGGCCTGGGTTGGCAGGCAGGTCCCTCAAATTGCAATCAATAAAATTACTGAATTATGTAAAAATATTACATAAATACGCACGTAGAATTTAAATATATGCATATTTATATATTTGAAGTCTACGTGTATATTTATATAATTATTTATGTAATTTTGTATATGGACATATGTATATTTTGTATTATTTTTATTTATTTATATATACATAGATATATATACAAATTCATTCTAAGTGTATTTTGATATATATATATATATATATATATATATATATATATATATATATTAAAATACAGTTAGAATAACATTTCATATAGATATATAATTTTTTCAATTTTTATTATTATTTTTAAAAAAATAATTTAATTTAAATTACTTATTTATATTTTATAATAATATATATACAATATATATAGTTATTATATATTATATATACGTGTGTAATTTAATTATAAGTGTATTTTTATATTAATATAAGTACATATTAATATAAAAATACACTTAGTTTGACATTATATATATGATATTTAGACATATATTATATAGATATAATATATGTCTATATATCTCATATATATATATATATACACACATATATAATTTTTTTTTAAATTAACATTAACTTTATTTTTTTTAATGATTTTACACATACAGGGAGACTGCCTATCAGCACAGACAGTCCCCCTGCAGGCAGACACATGGACACCTATTGTTTAACACAGCGATCACATGGCCCCAGGGGTCCTAATCCAGTGTGGGGAGACTGTCTGGGCTGTAGGCAGTCTCCCCACAAGGGGAGCAACGCTGATCGGGTTAATGTTGTTTTTTTTTTTGTTTTTTTTTAAGGAATAGAGACTGGGTGAACGTCTAACCGAGAATGGTGCAACTATCAAAAATAGTGATTGCTATGTTATACCACATTAATACATGTCAAGCTATTTATGAACAAAGATGGCACTGGCAAGCTGTTTGGGTAAATATGTCACTGATATATTGTTTGTGAACCAAAATTGTTATTATGTTAAATGACACTGATAAGTAAGTTGGAGACAAATCTGACACTGTAAAGTTGTTTTGGGACTAAGATGGTAATGAAAAGCTGTTTGTTAAAGGATCACTATAGTGTCAGGAAAACAGATTTGTTGCAATCACAAGGCCCCCCCCCCACCCTCAGGGTACCCCTCCCGCTGGGCTGAAGGGGTTAAAACCTTACCTTTATCCAGCACCAGGCTCCCTCCGCACTGGTGACATCAGCTCCCGAGTTGCGCAGCAATGCTTTCCTATGGACGTTCTGCACGCTGGATTTGATTTTAGCATCCAGCGGCGCAGAAGCGCCTCTAGCGGCTGTCAGGAAGACAGGATTAACCCTGCAATGTAAACATAGCAGTTTTTCTGAAACTGCTATGTTTACATCTGAAGGGTTAAAACCCTGGGGACCTGGCACCCGACCACTTCATTGAGCTGAAGTGGTCTGGGTGACTATAGTGTCCCTTTAATAGAAAATTAAAGAGATTAAAGAACCGTACTATATTCCAGGTAACCGAATACAACCCTTAATGTTTTAAATATGTTAATGTTTCTTCATTATTTTGTTAACAATTTTATTCAACACAACTTGACATGATCTATTTTAGTTCCTTAATAGAAACTAAAAGTTACATTCTTACATTTGAGGGTGTATGCATTTTAATTGCTATAGATTGTTTCTGTTTCATGCATAAACAATTACCCTTTTTTTTATTTTATTTTTTTTATATAATAACATACATTTTATAGGCAAATGACTAGATCCATACGCTAGCCAGGTGATCAGCAATAACTTTGATGGACTTAATCTATATAATCTGTGCATTAGAGATATTAGAAACAGTCTGAAGGAGAAGGTTCATAATCATTTGTCAGTCTTAGTTTCACAAGCTGAACGTAAGTGATACTATGCTGTCTTGTATGTGACCTTTCTGTTAACACTGAAATGATCTCATACACTTGTAGTTCTCATGGTCTGTTCTTGGTCTTTCCTTAAGTTGCGTAAACTTTTTGGCAGTGTCTGCCTTTTGGCATGGATTCAATCATAAGGGGTTCTAATGTACAATGTTTTGCTTTGAGTTATGAGATAAGCCTGCTAAATGAAGTATAGTGTAATTTATGCATACATTAAATGAGCAGTCACAAAGAGCTTACAAACCATGTAAAATAGGTCAGAAAATATGGTTTCGATACAGAAGGATTCTGACTGAGATAATGAAGTTAGGTAATGTTGAAACTTTACTTTCAAGATTCCATCCTTTGCTAGCATTAAAAGTAGAATTCTGTTACCAGTGTAAATGCATAATGTTCTACGTTCAGATCTTTTTTATTCCATTAAAATACAAGAGATGAGCCTTGTATTTATAGTATTTTTAAAAGAATTTGGTCAGCCTGTAACATTTCATAGGCTCTTTTTACCAAAGAAAGAATTGTGATGGGCTGAGAATGAATTTGAGACTAAACCGGAGACTAAAATTAAAAAAATATATAGACAAAGGTTCTCTTTTTTCCGTACCTAGGCTTTGGTACTAACTTATGCATATATGAAGGCAGCAGCATGGACTTTTTGATTCCCATTCTCCTTACCTGTATTTAGGTTATTTCTATAGGGAATTGTTCTCTCTAGGTTATGCCAGCTCTGTCCTGTAACTAATTGTTTGGTGGATACCATCTACCTCCCTATCTTTTCCTGTACCTTTACCTCTACTCTCACCTTTTTCGGCCAGACCCCAGAGACGTTACACGTGTGGTCTCAGTAATTATGATCTATTTATTAATTAAGGTAAAAAAATTTCTCCCTTAGATTGTATATTCTGAGCTCTCAATCCCACTACCCACAGTCGGATCTCAGCGGATGAGTAGTTGGTATTCTGTTCTTTTGTTTTACTTTTCAGATACACCCAAAAAAATAAAGGATTACTTTGTGGTGGACTGGTGGCTTATTTCAGTCTGGGTGCACATTTATGCAAAAGTCAGCAGGTCGCCTACATGTTATTCTACATCTAAGATAAAATACACACAAGTAGCATAAATGAACAAAACAAAACATCAGAAAAGTATTTCAATTAATTAATTAATACTGCCACAGGCATCAGTGGAATTATCGATCTTGACGTAGTCATCTTCTCTCCTCTATTGCACGCAATAGAATAAAAAGCAGATATCTAATAAAGGTCCTGGGAGACAGCTGACATCATCCGGATCATCCCTCTCATGTGCATTTAATCACCTGCATATGCAAACTATATTTATATGCTAAAGACAAATATAGATACAGTGTTCCTTTAGCTGACAAATTCAGCAAAAAGGATACACCAAGATGGATTACAGGGGTACTAAAAAGGGCCTAACCCTTATAACAATAATTAAACAAAAAGAAGGTGAGGAGTAAGGATCCCTTAAACATGGGAGACAGAACAACTCACAGCTAGTACCCCTTGTGGAGCAATAAACAGTGCACTTAACTCCTGTGTATTAAACAGATTAAACAAAAAATAATAAAGTTTTAATGTAGAATAATAAAAGTCTGTAATACACTCAACTGTTACAAATGGATGACCTGGAGAGTCACTCTGGGCTGCACATAACTATATACTGTGCCTACTACGTTGCCACAAAAGTAGCAACAGTGTAAAAGTAGCAAAAAAGCTACTCGTAATAGGCACCAGTGCAATAATGTGCATAGATAATTGTGCTAGCAAAACAGGTGACACTTACGGTCCTAGCTAGATATCTAATAAAGGTCCTGGGAGACAGCTGACATCATCCGGATCATCCCTCTCATGTGCATTTAATCACCTGCATATGCAAACTATATTTATATGCTCTTCAATTGCGTATTACAAGAGAAAATGTTAGTATCAGTCATTGATGGCTGTCATATTTGGGAGGCCTTATGAACTGGAAAGATTTGCAAAGTCTTAAGACAAAATGGTTACTAGATAAAACAAATAGTCCCTTAATTTGCATCTAGAACAACTACCAAATAAAACAAGAATTTACTACTAGATACTAGACACCTTAGGATTTAGAGTTGGAACAAAACTACTCTCCCAGTAACCACCAGTGCCAATATATAGTTACCTTTTCTTTAAGACTAACAATATAATTACAGAGACATTTGTTTTTGGGATTGATCCAAAAGAAGACAAAAAGACAGTTTAAGTGCTTTCCAATTTTGCTCAAAAAAGAATTGTTCTCGACTCCAGAATGGCAGTCATTCTTGGATTAAGAAGCAATGAGCCAATACCTTTATTGCAATTGAACATCTTCTGGATGACCAGGTAATTACATATCAAGCAGCTTCAGGCCAAGGCCACTTTGGTACTTGTTCTGATCACCTTAAAGGCAATGGCACAAGAAGACATGTATACAATCCCCAACATCAGTCAAATGTTGCATTTATTGTTGGATCTATTTACAAAGGTCACTCTGACAGCAAAATCCAAACATTGTTCACACTATTTAGCAGATGTCTGGGTTTTACACTAGTAGCTCCAATGAGCCATAGTTGTCCTCACATAAAGAACCTCAATTTGCTGAAAGGCATATGCATCATAAATTGGCACGCTTATAAATTGCAGTTAAAATGAACATATCCTATTTGCAACGGGCACTTTTCTATAAATAAATTGCAACAATGATTGCCTGGCTGTCAAGATAACCTGGGAGAATATCTTTGCTTCGGTAAACTCCACAGAACAACAATGGTCTGCTAATATCTGGACTCCCTGACTTACCTCTAACTGGAAATGTTCCTGGTATAGACTGTATAGAGTGTTTGACTGGTATAGAGTGTTTGTGCTGGGTAAAAGCAGAAGGACCCGCAAAGGTCGCATACAGCCCCTGCAACGTATCTCCAGCTAAACCTCCAATGGGGGGATGCATGCTGTTCTTTGGGGATGGAGACCAAATCATTTTCCTTTTTTTTCTGTTGAAAGGGTAATTTTCTATGTTCATATATTTTTTTTCTGATAGTTCAGATTTTAAAATTTCAACAGGGCTGACAACAGCTCTCCAGGCAGACCTGATCACAAATGAAAAATAGGTCCATACTAATGGATGCAAATCACATATGAACCTATTATGGAGGCACTAGGTGAGGATCTCCACCAATCCAAGTTCTGTAAATAGAAGTTTTGTGCATACGATGGTACTATTAAAGTTGCATCAGATCACATGGTTCATCCCCATGCTGATATCACATACATAAAGTGTGCACATGCATGCTGCAGTCTAGTCAATGGCAAGGTAAAGTATGATTACTGGTTACTACGGGAGGGGAGCAGAAAATTTAACTGTGAATGAAAACAGAGCAAAAGACATAGGTGTGAAGGAATTGTGAAGGAAGTCAAGTGCAAGGGGCATGAGCGTAGAAGGCAGGTGATTTTGAGATGTAGAGGAGTGTGTAAGTTACCTATGGATGGAAAGGAGTTTGCAAGTTACATATGAATTGGGACTAGTGTGCAAACAACATGGAGGAAGAAAGAAGTGTGCAAAATACATGGGGAATGAGTTGATTGAGTGCATCAGCAACACGGAGAAGAGTGTGAAATTTACATGGGGAGAAGTGTTGGTAGAGTGGGTTATACTGAGTGGGCAAGTGACACAAGAAGAGAGAGAAGGTGATAGGAGGATGGAAGAAGATAAGCAGGCAACTATAGAAGGAATATGGTGCAAATAATAAGAGGATTGAAGCTTACATGGGAGAGTGGACTATGAGAATTGTTTAGTTATGAATTGCAATTCATCTTAATTTGGGTCATTTGGGAAATGGTCAAAATTCCATATTTCCGGGGCACCAAGAAATGACTTGGACGAACATATTAATTTGATTTAGCGTTCTACCCATGTCGCCAAAAAAAAAGGAGATGATTGATTGGAGAAAACTGATTGATGGCTAGGGGACAGTCCCTAAATGTTGATTTTGTTAACAGATCAAGTGAGAAGTGAGCAATCGAGGGAAAAAAAGAAGCAGTAAAATAGATTTATAGTTGTACACTGAACAAAATTATAAACACAATACTTTTGTTTTTGGCCCCATTTTTCATGAGCTAAACTCAAATATTTAAGACTTTTTCTATGTACACAAAAGGCCTATTTCTCTAAAATATTGTTAACAAATCCTGACTAATTCTGTGTTAGTGAGCACTTCTCCTTTGCGGAGATAATCATCCACTTCACATGTGTTGCATATCAAGATGCTGATTAGACAGCATGATTATTGCACAGGTTTGCCTTAGGCTGGCCACAATAAAAAACACAAATATAAAGATAAATACCTGCGCTCTGGCCCTATAAAGGGTTAAATGTGAAAGGGTTTATAAAATACCCCTTCCTGTCTCACTGGAGATTCTTGGCTGATATCAGCATATCTAATGGCTAGTGTAGGAACTCACCTATTGAGGCTTGCTTTGACGTGGCAGGTGAGCTTATATATTCAAATGGCCATTGGAATAAAACTAAAGAGCCTCCATTTTGTTTAAATGTACATGGGGATTTAGGCCAGAGTGCAGGTAACGTTCTCTTTGTTTTGGCCACAATAAAAGGCCACTCTAAAATGTACAGTTTTACTGTATTGGGAGAGTCTGGGGGGGTCCGAAAACCAATCAGTATCTGGTGTGACCACCATTTGCCTCACGCAGTGTAACACATCTCCTTCGCATAGAGTTGATCAGGTTGTTGATTGTGGCCTGTGGAATGTTGGTCCACTCCTCTTCAATGGCTGTGCAAAGTTGCTGGATATTGGCAGGACCTGGAACACGCTGTCGTATACGCAGATCCAGAGCATTCCAAACATGCTCAATGGGTGACATGTCCAGTGAGTATGCTGGCCATGCAAGAATTGGGATGTTTTCAACATAGGGCTGTGCATTATCATGCTGCAACAGGAGGTGATGGTAGTGGATGAATGGCACAACAATGGGCCTCAGGATCTTGTCACGGTATCTCTGTGCATTCAAAATGCCATCAATAAAATTTACCTGTGTTCGTTATCCATAACACATGCCTGCCTATACCATAACATCACCGCAACCGTGGGCCACTCAATCCACAACGTTAACATCAGCAAACCGCTCACCGACACAACGCGAAACACACTGTCTGCCATCTGCCCTGTACAGCGAAAACCAGGATTCATCCATGTAGAGAACACCTCGCCAAACACCATCGAATGTGAGCATTTGTCCACTCAAGTTAGTTACGACGACGAACTGCAGTCAGGTCGAGACCCCGATGAGGATGACGAGCATGCAACTGAGCTTCCCTGAGACAGTTTTTGACAGTTTGTGCAGACATTTTTTGGTTATGCAAACCGATTGTTGCAGCAGCTGTCCCAGTGGCTGGTCTCAGACGATTTTGGAGGTGAAGATGTTGGATGTGGAGGTCCTGGGCTGGTGTGGTTACATGTGGTCTGCGGTTGTGAGGCCGGTTGGATGTACTGCCAAATTCTTTGAAACGCCTTTGGTGACGGCTTAAGGTAAAGAAATGAACATTCAATTTACGGGCAACGGCTTTGGTGGACATTCCTGCAGTCAGCATGCCAATTGCACGCTCCCTCAAAACTTGCGACATCTGTGGCATTGTGCTGTGTGATAAAACTGCACATTTTAGAGTGGCTTTTTATTGTGGCCAGCCTAAGGCACACCTTTGCAATAATCATGCTGTCTAATCAGCATCTTGATATGCCACACCTGTGAGGTGGATAGAATATCACGGAAAAGGAGAAGTGCTCACTAACCAAACCTAAGGAGAGGTGCAATCTATGTAATGTGTATATATATATATATATATATATATATATATATATATATATATCATTGTATATAAAATTAATCTAAAACAGCCTTTATTGAATGTAATAACTCTTTAAATGACGATTGCAAATCTGCATTGGAAAAAAAATATCTATTCAAAAATAAGAGTCAAAGTCAGTTTTAAGAGGTAACTAGATGACCACAGCTATTAAAGCATTGCATGTGGTAAGCATTGCAAATTTGCCTTATTGTTTATTTTATTGTTGTATAAATGTGTGTGTGCAATGTGGATACTGTATTTCATTATTTTCACCACCCTCCCTGAATGGATGCCACCCAATCACTGTACATGGCATTTAACCCCTCCTCTGTGTGTTTTACAGGCAATCCACTCCTAGTGAGACAGCCCGTTCTCCAGAATCCAAGCTGTACTATATAAAAGCTGTTATCACTTAGCAAACCCTGCAGCCAGAAGTTCTAAGCTCTCGTAGTATTGCTTTCACTGAATATATGACTGGATATAACTTCCCCTTTACAAGGCTGCACACTGCATAATATTGCTGTCTATTTTAACTATTTCAAGCATTATCACAGCCCAGGTAAGGAAAATAGTTTATGTATATTTTTTAAAGCAGTAATTTATTTAATAAAATATTATTAAATTAAAGTGAAATTATATAAAACAGCAATTTAAAAATGAAAGAAATTGATACATTAGTATGTTTCAGCTAAACAGTATTTTCTTTTTAAATTATGGCGTTTACATTTTTTTTTTTAAATAATTGATCATTGTTTTAAAAGTGGTATAACATATATAGTTGTGTTATATTCTTATCTGTATCATACTAGATTTGTAATAAATTATTTAATTCTGGAATTTAAAGAAATGATTAAGAAACTTTTATGACAATTTGAGACAGTATGTCTTGTTTAGCAATTCCTGGAAATGAAAATTACCATTTACTTGTGTTTTTATTTTATTTTTATTTTTTTCTATCCTTTTTTCTTTTCCCCAGATTCCAGGAAACCATTTGTTTTAAAGCAATCATTGTAAAAGTCTGTATACTGTTTCTCCAAACATGCAAGAAAACCTTTCTATCACCACTGCAGTTCTGTTTTCCCTTCTTTGTGAAACATGTGGTTTAGTATTACCAAATCCTACAGACTTAGCATCATCAGCCAGAAATTACACCACTTCCAAGCCAGATGTAAGTGCTCAGTTGGACTCTGCAAATATCACGAAGTCCAGAAGGAAGCGCTATATTTCTCAAAATGACATGATTGCTATCCTTGAGTACCACAACCAAGTCAGGAGTAAAGTCTTCCCACCTGCATCAAACATGGAGTACATGGTGAGTTATTGGACACAGGTAGAATGCTGCCCAGTAGGTTTTATTTAAATCAAGCTTTAAAAATGATATAATATTAGGAAAGTTATATCTGTAAATGTGTGCTTTTGTTTGATTTAAGTATAATAGGTTACATGGGGAACACGGGACAAAATGAATGGTACCATAATGCTCGAAAGCAAATACTGAGGTTATATTAGTGTTAATAATCTGTGTAGATGGGACACATTCACATAACATGGAATGCTTGTAACCCCCCTTCCCCCCCCCCCCACGCACCTAAAATCTCAGAGTAGAACCAATACGTACTCTGTTTATGCCTGAGGTAAACAGAAGATCAACGGTTTCTGTTCTATTTGGTGATTAAAGTATAACTAACTTACCACTTGACATAAAACTACCCTCACAGTTATATCAAAATGCCACCAATAAAAAAGCAGCCAATCGACCCTTTGTACTCGATGTATGTTCTTTTTATGAAGTCTACATTTAAAGGAACACTATAGGGTCAGGAACACAAACCTGTATTCTTGACCCTATAGTGTTTGAAACATTATCTAGCCCCCCGTGCCCCCTCTCCCCCCCATAAATATAGTAAAATCTTATCTTTATTTAAATCTGATGGTGCTGGCTCTGCCCCTGATCTGCCTCCTTGGCTGACATCATCAGGAGTGATTGGCTAAGATGGTCAATTCTGATGATCTCAGCCAAGGAGATGGACATGGGGTGGAGCCAAACACCACCTGGCCAATCAGCATTTCCTTTCTAGAAATGCATTGAATCAATGCATCTCTATGATGAAAGTTCAGTGTCTGCATGCAGAGGATGGAGACACTGAACGTCAGTGCTGTACACAATGCAGCACTGCCCCAGGAAGCATCTCTAGTAACCATCTGAAGAGTGGCCACTGGAGGTGGACAATGTTTACAACAAAAAGTCTGCAGGGCATGATTATACTCACCAGAGCAACTACATTAAGCTGTAGTTGTTCTGGTGACTATAGTGTCTATTTAACTGTTTTAGTGTTTTACTATGCATCTTAGCACAAATGTATCAAATTTATTCTTGAATTAAACAAGTTCAGGAATGTCATAATTAGCACATGAACAAGTAAAGAGATGCATGCATTTCAAAGCAATGTGCTATGGGCCTACCTAACAAATAATGTGTGCGGCCAGGAAGACTGAAATTTATCAGTAATTATTCTTAACATGTAATTGTCACTCTGTGGGTCGAGGCCCATGAATCCTGCCAAATTGCCTGCCACCTCCAATGCCCCTAATCTCACCAGAAATCTAGGCTTAATGAATAAATCTGCAAAAAACAAACAAAAAAAACGATTAGCCCACCTCTCTGGCTGTGTAGTTCTGATAAACTAGTAACAGCCATTCAGGCATCCAGGTTGGAGGGACTGGGAAGTTAGGGGCTGAAGTAGTAGGGGGGTTGTTTGAGGCTGCAGTTAGTGGGATAGAGGCTGCAGAGGAGGGGTTGGTGCTGCAGTGGTCTTGGACAGGGGCTGCAGTTGTAGGGAGAACAGGGGCTGCAGGGAAAATATAGGACAGGGAATAAACATTTTTAATACAAAAAAATGAAATACACTAAATGTTGTTCCCCCTCCCTGAGACTTTCCTTAGATCAGGGAGAGGTTATCCTAATCCCTGGTGGTCTGATAGGAGATGCAGAGGAGGCAGGCATGTGTGATGTCATATCCCCCAATCCACTTACAAGCTGTGCTCACGTCTATGGGTTTAAATTTATACTTGGTGTGTGAAAGGATGAGGAAACAGGTCTGAATTTGCCTATATCAAAGGATGCACTAATGTGAGATTACGAAACCTTCAAACTGAAGATTTTTTTTTTTTTACTCAAGCAGAACATTGTCACATAATTAAAAATTTTAGATTATTGTCGGTCGTATATGTTTGAAGACAAGGTTATTGTGCTTTATATAGAAAATAGTTAACAGTGTAAACCATGAGTTAATATTTCGAATGTAGTTCAGGGTCAGCTAAGGTAGTCACTCCTCTTTACATACTACTAATAAAATGTAGGCTGGAGAGTTGCATTGGCTCAGATTTTACAATATTTCCTTTTTTTTTTTTATATCAGCCTCTTGGATTCAAAACAAAGTCTAGCCAACCTAGCATATTCTAGTCCACATTTTAGGTAATAATACATGGGGAATGCAATAACATTGTATTCATACTATGAATCATAATATTGAATGTGCTTAACCACAATTCTTAAAAAACCAAGCGGTTTTCCAAGACACATATATAAACGGAGTCATCTTGGTTTCCCAAGATGATTGTATGTGCGTATATATATATATATATATATATATATATATATATATATATAATGTAGCTTTGCAAACATTGCATTAGTGCATTAATATATAATACAAAATTGATAGAGCTTGATGTTATGAGATGCTTGCAGTTGCCCATCATACTGCAATTTGTATGGAAGATTATTATTCTGCCTACCACAAAACCAATCCCAACATATCACCCAACAGCAAACAAACCAAATGAGTCGGAGTTCTTGTAACATTCATCTAATTTGGGATTTTCTTCTATAGTGCTTATTTTACAGTCTCTGAATTGAACTTGAAAATTTCAAGGAAAGTTAAATAATAAAGTGTAAACATAATAGTAAACACAATAGTCATGATAGTGATGTACTCTCTTTTCCTTCACAGTAATTGATTTCTATATTTAAAGGTCTATCCATTCCCGTTCAGGTTGGCCTTATTACACTTGTGATTCAATCTCTTATTAAGCTTTACTCTCTGGATGAACTAAGCAGGGTAACTAAGCAGATTGGCCCATCTAGGAGGAAATTAAAGTTCACTAAGATTCAAAGCAACAATTGAATTCAACTGGCCATGTTTGTAGGCAACCTAGGCCATAGGGAGCTATTTTGTCAAAGCATTAGGAAATTCACAACTGAACGACTGCACACTTCCATCAAAATAAAAAATATCCAACTAATGCAACCGTGGTGAGGCCCCTTGCAGATACAAATAAAAAGTAAAGGATTTGGGCACTTCAGTTAAAAATTCAGATATTAATCTGAAACTTTTAATCGGAAAATAGATATAGAGTGATGCCACTGTATCTTGTTACATCAAGTCATCAATCTGTATCTTGTTTCCTATTGATGTCTATATTTCCTACCTAAGTGCCTTAATCCTTTACTGTTTAGAGCGTTAGGAAATGTCAAGGCCAGACTGGGACACAAATTTACCCTTGCCATGTAATGACAGATTAGTTCAATAGGAGTTTTTGGGTTCAAAGCAGTGGCAGATCTGGGGGGGGGGCACAACGGGGCAATTACACTCCCCCCCCCCTACACCCAGAGAAAACCAAGGCTCTCCCATGCTCTCCCCTGCAGAGCTGGCTGCAGTTACTATTGCAATGCCCTGGATCTCGCAAATGCGAACTCTAGCTGAGCTACAGGCTAGAGTTAATTCTCACGACTGGGACCACCAGGGCTTCTCCACTGGACCACACACACAGTGCCCCCTCACACACAATTCAACCCTCATACACACAAACACTGCCTACTCTCAAACACACACACTGCAACCCTCACACACACACTGCACCCCACACACACACTGTCCACTTACACACATGGCTCCCTCACACACACTGCAACCCTCACTCGCGCACTACATCCACACAAACACACTGCACCCCTCAAACAGACACACACTCACAAAGCATGCTTCACACACACACTGCCCACTCACACTGCAATCATCACACACACACTGAACCACTCACACATACACGTACTGCCCCCAATACAAACACACACTGCCTCCACACATACTGCAAATAATATAATGACTGGAAATTCACTCTCTAACTTTCATTAAGAAAATGGAGAATAGCATTACAATATTTCCTCTGCACCTCTCCCAACATTTTGTTAAAGGGGAAGCGCTGAATTAAAAAGATTGTCTAGTGCAAATAGCAGCTATTGATCGGAATTGTCAGCACTTCCAGATATGTATATTCTTGCGTTACCCTGAAATTAAAATCCTCTGTGAAACCATACATTATTAAGAATAATGAATCAGTTTCCACTATGGCATTTGAAAATATGATTTGCCTGCTAAAATACTGGGAAGATCAAGTTATAGAAAAGACATATTAGTGTAGTGTATATTAGAGGAACACTCGAAGCACTATAACCACTACAGTGTGCTGTAGTGCCCTGGTACCTCACATTTCAATGTATAGAGGCAAATCCTTTTAGAAAAGCTTTAAATACCGCTGTTTTCTGACAGTAAGGTGGCTACTCTCTCCTAAGCCTGTCAATGCAGGGCTTAGCTCATTGACTCAGAGTCATCAGCTGACACTCTCAGGCAGTGAGCCAGCCTCTGCAGGTCTTAGCTGAGGAAAGCTAACTGAAGTACCTAAAATGGAGCTTCCGGACATGTAGAGGATGGGAGCAGAATCCTTTGGACCCCAGGTAAGAACTCACACCATTCTATAACAGTTTGGAGCGGGTGGTAGGCTGTCCCTCCACATTTTTTTTAAATATATTTTTAACAGCAGTTTTTCTCTCCTGGAAGAAAAAAAAACACAAATCTATTGTGTAACTCCAAAAACTAAATGTGATATCACATGCTCCTTTTTGATATGTCTGATGCATGTCATTCTCAGACATATCGCTTATTAAATAAAATCAACACTAAGGGACTGTCTACTAGCCATCAATCATCTTTTTTTCCCATCAATAATCTTTTTTTGTGTGCCATGGGCAAAATTCAGAATCACAAATCAAAACTGACATGCTAGGCCATTGTGTGTTTTGATTGTTCAGTGTTTCAGCTACATTTCAAATTAGAGTTCTTGAATTTGAATGACTCTCTGATCAGCCCAAATCCAGATGAATTTCAATTCAGAACAAATCAAATCTCCAGGTCTATTGGGTATGGTATATTTTTCTAATACTTGCGATCTATAATATTATTTGTTCAGTAAGGGTGACTACAGAAACCCATAGAGGCCATGTTTTTTTTTAAAAAAAATATATACTTTCTGACTTGTTATCTAGAGAAAATAAGTTATCTTGAGAAAACAACTTGTCTTCTCAAAATAACAACTTGTCAGACAAAATATTAAAGATACATTACCCCTCTGAGCTTCTGTATGTAACAGCATTGATTAAACCTATTAATAATTTTGGTCTATTTTATTTTGTTATGGTTACAATACTTATTTGAACATCACTTTATCTAAAAGAGTCATACATCTAGAAATCAACTATATTGGGTAATATGTACAGCGATGTATATATATCAATTCAAAGTTTAGTCAATAAATCTCTAAATTATTCTGATTAAATTGATAATCTATTACTAAAAGTAAATTAAAAAACGGCACAGCTAGCTCTCAGGACCTAATCAGTTTAACTGTATTTTAGTTTTCCATTCTTACTTTAGTTTTGCATAATATCACACCAAACAACTGCTGTATTTTAATATATATTATAATTATATCACTTAGCATAATCTCTTTTGCTTACAGCTATTGCCCTACCAACAATGTAAATAACACGCATAACAAAAAACAATGTAATTTTTTTACACGTGAAATAATCTGTATAATTTACTTAAACAAGCTATAACAAAAAAAAACAAGATAAAATATAGCTTGAGTTTATACTGGGCAACCAAAGTTAACTAAGAAATGTTTATGAACAATTTGTGACTGGCTGTTGTGTCACACTTCAAATTTAGATCCTTACATAAACCTGTTAGTATTTGGCCTCTTCCACCCAACTCACTTTATCCATTTGTCGAAAGTCAAATTCACGATGTAAGAGGACATTTGTACACCAATCACTCGGCCAGTCTTGCCCTCTGTTGTTTGCTATGATACACTGTTTTTCTTGGCAACCAAAATTCATGTTTTCCAAACTGGTTTCTGTTTCATAGACTTGTACGACGATTTGTGTTCAGTTGCATACATTTTTTTTCCCAGTTTAGAATACAGCCTTGAGATGAGTCGCCACATTCTTACCTGTCTAGAATGTTTTAAAGCTTCCTTTTGACATCTTTACAATGCATTAAATAACAGTGTCAACTCCAGTGACAACAGCTGGTGAGCAGGTTATAGAAATACCAGACCCCCAACAGATCAAGTACAATACAGATGGCTAGTGCCTCTAATTGATGATTAACCTTGTAGATATTCCATCTTCATTCTCTCTACATTAGTCTGCTGAACAGTTGAAAATGTTTGTGTTACAGAGGTCAGACACTCATTCATATTCATGTTTTTATTTCATTCTTTAAACTGAACTATATCCTTGTTATTTGGATACTAGTGACTATATAATGTCTAAGTGTACAAAAGCTGTATCAACATCTGTGCAACTGGTGCTTCTGAATCTATGTTGATTGACAGTTAGATATTTTCAAGAGGTGGTTAAATAGTAATTATTTGGTAACAAGATGGATTGCTTTAATGAAGTTAATTTTCAAAAATATGTTAGTGAGTAGACTTGTATATCTGATATACGTATAAATCCATTTTGTTAAAATATCAGATCTTGTAATAAAAATGTGTCAAAATATGACAACAAAATAAATATAATTTTTCTGTCTCACAGCTCTGTGAGAAGAATTGTTAGGAAGAGACCAAACTATGTTATCCCATAGGATAGGAAACGTATAGAGTAACAGATGTACTAAAAACGAAAATATTTACAGTCAAAAATAAAATTCTGTGTCCAGTTCTAGGGCTGACTGTAGAGTGGCCACAACAATGTTAAGTAGACATCTGTGTCTCACCTGGAATTCTATATCATCTGTCCTAAAAACCAGAACCTCCATGTGGCTACACCATAATCCTAAAACTGAACATGAATTTTTTTTTTTTTTAAGTATACACTATATGGCCAAAAGTATGTGAACAACTCTGCATTATATCTATATTAGCTTGTTGGACATCTCATTTCAAAATAATGGCAATTGCTATGGGGTTTACCTCATTTGCAGGTCTAACAGCTACCACTCTTTTGGGAAGGCTTTTTCACATGATCTTGTATTGTGTCTTTGGGAATTTGTGTGCACACAGCCAAAAGAGCATTTGTGAGAAGAGGTTTGGGTCTCAATTTGCATTCTAAATGTGTTCTGTGTGGCTGACGTCAGACCTCTGTGGAGACTACTGGAGTTCCTTCATAGCAGACTTGTTAAACCATGTCTTCTTGGACCTAGCTTTGTGCACAGGGTCATAGTCATGCTGGAACAGAAAAGGTCCTACCTCAAATTATTGCCACAGACTTGGACACTCCCAAATGTAACAAATGTCTTTGTAACCTATAGCATTAAGATGGCAATTTGCTGGAAGTAACGAATCTTGCCCAAACCATGAAAAACAGCCCCAGATCATTATCTATCCTGTTCCAGACTTTACCGTTATGAGGAATAATAGGGATCCTACACGTAGTGTGTAGTAGAGTATTAATGTGTACCAGACTATAGAATGGCCGGGCTTACGTCATAAGAACAGAGAGTAATCAGGAACAAACTGAGGTCAAGCGAGGTGTAAAACTCCAGTCGATTCTTTAGAGGCAGCTCTTTTCCTGTCCCCCTATATTTGCATTTAAATTACTTTAATTACAGAATTTCCATCTTTAATTCCAGTTAGGCCAATTATTATTAGCGCTAACAATATTAGCTTACAGTTGCCGGGGACAGATCTAGTGGAGAAGAAGTTTCACGAAATGCCATGTGGTAACAATGGGCCCCTATGACAGTGCCAGTGAGCTTTTTAGTAAGAGATTTCATGGATTTGTGCTGGGTGAGGCTGAAACACCTGAACCCAACACTTATTTAGGGGTGTCCACATAATTATGGAGTATGGGGAATTCTACTCCATAGAATTTCTAATATATCAGCTAGCACAATGTATAAGTAGATTTATTTATTTTTCAGCCTAAAACACGTCTCATGCCAAACATGACAGAGTCTTTTTAAATGATGGATACATTATGGTAGCCTAAACTGTGTTCCAGTTTTTTGTGCTTATGCTGATCGGTTTTCCTTGTATCAGGTTTACTCATTATTGTTACACTATTTTAAAGTGACATTGCTATGACATTGCCATATGCTCATGCCAAGGAGTATGAGTTACTTGATATGTGCTTGTGTGCTTGCACTATTAAATTGTTCTCTTAGTTTAGCCATTCTTATATACATGCATACATCGGGCTGTAATACTGAGACATTTTTTGCTCAGTAACAAATCCAACAAGTTAAAGTTCACCAGATCACACCTGACCTATTTAAAATGAGCAGGTTTACCTAATGCTTCATTGTCTGTCTGTCTAACCACCTGTTTTTCTCTCGCTCTGTGTAAGTATTTATATTGTGCATAAACATGGCAAGTCATTACCCCATGGAAGAATTATAACTTATTTTTAGAAAATTAAACTATGTAGAAGAATAACAGTTAATATATTATTAATCATAATAGTATGTTGATGTTGGTCAAAATCCAAATGCAATTTGGATGCAGGATGGATTGTTTTGCCATTATGGAACAAAATGAAATCAGTGCAAGGTTTTTTTTTTGTTTTGTTTTTTGTAATAACAAAAGCAAACGTGACTCCTGAAATGTGGTACTTTATGGTATTTTTTCAACATTAATTATGTTTTTTTATATGTTCTGCTAATTAGCTCTTTATACCTTTACAGTTTATTGCAGTGGTTATAATGGTATAATGCTAGCAACTTGCCCCTACAATTTTAACTTTTAAAAATCCCTTGCATTTTCTGTATTTTCTTTTAAATATCTGGCATCTAGACTCCAACCACCCTTTCTAATGACTTAATTTGAGGCAGACAAGAAACAGTGCACGATGTGATTGTGTCCATAGCTCAACTCCTACAGGTGCAGAAGGCTGATGTCATATCCCACCCCACATCACGGTAACACAGTACTGTTACATAAAAGCCCAAAACAATGATGCCAGGATACACTGATCAGTACACATGAGACACATGAGAGGGAAAAGGGAAAATCTATGGAATTAGAATGGCATGGGTCCAGACTCAATATTTACAAAGTTATTGGGAAAGAGTTGTAGAGAATCTTGTACAAACATACAAAGAAATTAGCATGGGGAGATCCACAGGACTGGGATGGGAATGGAAGAGACACAAGGCATAGGGGGCAGCGTGGGGGAAGGGTATGAAAAGAGAGACAGTGGTAGATGGTATGTAGAGGGAGGCAGTGGTAGAGTTATGGAGTGAGAGACACAGTGGTTATGGGGTCATGGGGAAAGTGACCTTGGTAGGGAATCATGGGGCAGAGTCAAAAAAGACTTTGGGAAAATGGCTTGGGGGGAGATGATTTGAGGGAGACAGGACTGAGACGAGAGGAACTGGAGTTGAACTGGGGGAATTCTATTGTGGAATACACTGAGAAAATATGGCATTTTTTAATGCATTGATAGCATGTGCAATGGGAGGAAAATTGTGTGATCTGTACTGGAGACGAAGTGGATTGTTTTCTACATATTAAATGGGGCTATGGAAAGAGTGATAACAATGAGAAGGAGCAAGGGATGTATATTATGGGACACATAGGATTTCAGAATGAAAAGAGGTCAGTGAAAGGAAATGTAAACTCTATGGAGCAGCTGTGGAAGCACAATATTAATTGAACAGAGGTAATGGATATGTTAAGTAACTGTGAGGGAATATCTGCAAAACTGTCTTTTAGTGATCATACTGCGGGCAATATGTTGCCCTTTGACTCAGATACCACATTGTAATAGGGCACCCATGAACACAATGTCTCCAAAATTGTTCAAATGGTTATGGCCTTTGGAGATTCTCCTAGGAAACCTATGTTCAAGCAAGGTAAAGACTCCAGCTGGTAGATACATGTTCAGTATAAAACAAGAACAATATAAATTAAATTGTGGGCAGCTGGACCTGTCAGGGTGTACTTAAAGAAAAAATCCTGGCAGGAGCACAGGTACTCCCAGAGTTTCAGCAAAACTGTTGCAACGTAGAGTCATAACTTGGGAGTTCCCAAGTGCATACAGTATTCTTTGATTTAGGCCGAGTACCAATTTGTTTGGAAAACCAGATAGAATGAATATGATGTTGAGCAGACCGTAGCAAAACATAACTGTTTACAGCCTTGTAATATAAATACTGTGCCTAATGAATAGTCACTATTGTGTGTAGAAGATGAAAGTATATTTATTTTTAGGGTCCAGCATCTTAGCTATGTTTATCTTTATATGCTGTAAAACATAGAGCCCTAGGACAGAAAAATAAAATGTGAACTTTATAATGTCCCTGACTTTTCAACATGAGTGACATTTTATTTACTGGAAAGTTCTGTTTATAGCAGCACCTACCCTAATTCAACACCAACGGTTTTAGTATTTTTTGCAACTTAGAATGCAGATCAGCCTCATCTTTTGTACATTTTAGTGGCTCGTGTGTCATACAACTATGTACCTATTCAAACACAATGAAGCATCAAGCCTCAATTACATATATTATCAGATTTTGAAATGGTGGAAGTTAGAGAGGTAAATTATAGACTATGCAACCTTTGGCACACCAGATGCTGCGGACTACATCTCCGTTAATGCTTTTACAGCCATAATGCTGGCAAAGTATTAGGGTAGATAGGGTAGATGCACTCCACAACAGCTGGAGTGTTTTCTATTTATACTTTTTTTTTTCTTTTTAGTATTTTTATTTGCACCTAACAAATGCAAGCCAGTCTTTTGCAACTCTTTTGCAACTTTTAAAAATATAGAAGCTATGGGCGTCTTACTTTGAAATCTGGGCATGAGGAGGCCCTCTCCTGTCACTGCACCCACCTTCCTTTCCTCTACTCTTTCGCAAAGCACTCTTTCTTTCCTTTTCTCATTGCATATACCTTCAAAGGACATTCGTAGGCGCTACACCAACCTTTCTGTTTTATCATAATCCTTGAGCCTGAAAAACTGTTGAAAAAAGATGCGTACAGTCATATGACAGTTGCAAACGTCTAAATGTAAAAAATGGAATGTTACTTGACTGTCCAAAAAAATAGAAATTAAAAAAATCAAACAAAAGGAGATATATCATAAAAATGTTGCTATTTCAAATTAATTTCATAGATTCAAAGTCATTATTATACTTCTTCTCACAGAATACCATAGACTTAGTGACCTCAGCATAATATTGTTTCATTTTTTTTGCCCTGAAATTGTATTTTATTTTGTGGGAAAAGCCCAATATTGGTGGACACATCTGTATATCCCAGGCTCCATTTCTGAGAAGTGAAATCAGTCCCAGATGTTATCTTTAGTATCAAAGTGCAGATTTACACTTGCTGTAACGCATGTATCACATTTGAGGATAACTGAACATTTCCATAAACCCAACAAAAAGAAAAATCTCTTAAAGATCAGAATGGTGATGGTTACCATTTATAATGAAATATGGAGATAATGCATTATAGAAAAAAATATTCCCTTTAGAATTCGACTCTTTTACGATCTTCTCAATGGTAGAACTAGGCAGTCCAGGAGTTAAAGTAATATGTATTTTAGCATTGTGTAATATACATTGTTTTTTATTTTATTTTTATTTAATATACTATTAGCTTTATTCATTTTTTTTTACCAAAATTAATCTGTTTCGTCACACATGCACACAGACAGAGTTATGAAAGAGTTTATACAGGTTAGTTAGGACGCAGATTGTGTCCACACCTTGCATACACATGCAATGCTAGAATATGCATGACCAAGAGAAGGAGCAGTATCCTCCTGCGTTGCTACATGGTGGGCTTATAGCTGCAGTGCTTGTTATCAAATTTGGCCTAAAGATTGGGCTAGGGTCAAGCACTCTTAAGTTAAAATGCTTAATATACCTATGATAAATGCACAATTGAATCCAAAACAGAAATCCACAATAAGTGCAGGTAAGCAGGTTTCTTATATTTACTTTGGCACAATATATGTCTGGGATACAGTCACAGGCTATTTGGAACTGTAACTATTTGGAATAATGTTAAATACATTGTTTCAATTATGCTAATGTATAACAAGTTCAGCTGCCCCCTGTGAGTTTTGGCTAAAACAATGCCAAGAGTGCTTTGAGGTTACAATATTTTAAATTTCAGTTGAAGTTTGGAATGCCAAGTCTATTTTAGAAAGTACACTTGTCTTTATTTTACCGAAAGGCTATGAATTTAACCCACTCATGTATTCCTTATAAATCGAACTGTTATATCGTTTAGAGAGCTACATATTATACTGAACAGAACAATTGTGCAAATTCTTTATGATGTTTCTGTTAATTGCATATCCTGGGTTTTCTTTACATAAGGGACGCTGTGGATGTGTTCAAAATCTGTGCAGAGAATCCAACAACAACAAGTCACAAAACATGAATCAAATTAAATAAGAGTATTTAAATGGTTACTCCAACCACCATGACCACTTCTGCTTTTGTGGTCATGGTGGTAGAAATCTGTATGTGTATTTCTGCTTGAAATGCTGCATATCGAGAGATATTTGCACTTGTGGGCTGGGGGGCTAGTTAGACTCCTGGCACACGTGACGTTGGCAGTCCTAATATGAATTCTGAGCTATGTAATACATCTGTCATCAGCAAGTTGGTGACATACATACAGAGCTTCTACCCTATCAGGCAGTGGCTACAAGGGTAAGTATTCATTGAATGTGTCCCTGCCTCCCTATCCTCTTTGTTACCCCTATCCCCTTCTATGCTTCTCTTTGAGAAGCATTTGGTTGGACCACAAAAGGAAGCTGTCATGTCAGAAGAGGTGTGGAGTTGTGACGGATCGCCTGGCACCCCGACTGGGTACCTCCGTTGAAAGATGCTCCTAGCGCTTCCTGAGGACTCCAAGCACTGCAGCAGACGCCACAATCACCGAACCAGAGAAGCGTATACCTTCTCTCAAGCATATGAATGCTGTAGACAGTTGAATAGGAACCATACGAATAGGTTTACTCTCCTACCAGTCAAACTGGAACAGCATACAATAAATCCTTCCCCCAATAATGAGACGACACTTCACTTTGAGGGTTAAAACAGGAACTCACTGTACTGTCACATACAGTCTCTTTTATTCCCAATCCACAAACATAGTACAGCCCACAGGGCGTTACAAAACAGCCAATCAATCAATACAATACACCCAGACACTCCCACACAAAATCCTCCCCTCTGGCTGTGATATGATTACTGAACACAATGGGTAATCTAATTATCACAGCCAGAGAAATACAGTTTCATAAAACACATCACAGGGACCCCAAAACATGCAATAACCCCATAAAATAAGTATATCATTGGAACTGGGGGATCTGGGTGAACCACATATCCAAAATTCACCCAGATCCGTTCAGTACTTTGGAAAATACAGTTTAATGCAGATTCTGCAGAACATATACAGGCTAAATAAAAACAATCACTGTATAATGTGTCCCCTGCTGTATAGTCCAAAACCACCGCACAATGTCTCTGTGCAACAAATACTGGCGAGATGGCACCGTGTTGAAAAGTCCACACAGTGTCTGTGAGTTAAAATGGCCGCCATCCATTGTTCTCACCATGTGCTTCTTATACAGGAAATGGTGGCCACCCAGTAACTCCACAGTATGTCCCCAGATGGTTCTTAAAAGGGCCAGCAGCAGCACAACACAAATCCATTATGCCCAAATCATGTCTTTAAAGGGCAATACATCCCAGGGGCCATAGTCACATGGCAGGAGGCTGGCAACCAGGCTTCTCCAGTGCATAGTGGCGAGGTTGGTTCCGCCACAGGAGTCCAGTGCGGGAGCTTTGCCCAGCACTGGATTCCAGGAAGGTGTAAAGCTTTTTATGAGTTCTAGTGTTAATCCTGAAGGGACAGGTGCAAGTCAGCATTGCCCAATAGGGCATTACTGATTAAAATATATGCTCACTAAAAATAAAGTTGGGTTAACCCTTCAAGAAGCAATTTATTCATGAAGAGCGATATTTCTAGAACATTACTTCCAAAACACTTCTAGATCCACTGCCTGGATTGGCAGCCACTGACTTATCTACAAATCCAGTGAATTAAATGAAGAACTATATCTGTATCCCCAAACAGGTATTTCTTCTTTTATTGTGTTGTGCCTCCGAATATAAATCGTTTGTTCATGGGTTCTTGGACACAAGACTCTTTGAAAACAGCATATGTGAGAAGATGGTCAAACTAACTTTTTATGTATTCTCCTTTCAGGTCCTATTGAGGTTATAGCTCACTAGTACCATAACATAGAATCTACACCATTTGTATACCAATTAATTACAACGGATGGGTAGTCCAGTACCAAATTTCTATAAAATTCACTTTGTGTAAGTGGTACAGCAACCTCTTACAATCATTTTGGCCTTCTACAGGCCTCATGAGTAAGGCAGGGGCGTAACTAGAACATTTGGTACCCAGGGCAGGTCCTCCACACTCCCCCAACTATAAATGTAAAAAACAACCACAATTTTTTAAAAATGTATTTAGCACTGAACTGTGTTTGTGTGTTTGAATGTAAGCATGTTTTTGCATGGAGTATGTGTGAGTGTCAATGTAGGGGTGTGTTTGTATGTAGTGTTGGCGTTTGAATGCAAGCATGCATTTGAGTGTAGTGTGGTTTCTGAATGCAGTGGTGTGGTTATATATATATATATATAATGGTGGGGTTTGTATGCAGTGTGGACATTGAAATGCATTAGTATATTTGTGTGTAGTATTGGCAAGATTTCGAGATGTATGCACATATACACATACACATATGCTGTGCTGTGCTGTGCATGCTGGCATCTTACAACACATTTGAATATAATTCACATTAGCCACCCAGATTTCTTGTTGTGGGCTGGCTGATACCTCTTAACTTCAATCTTTGTTTATCAGATAACTCCCCTATTTGCTATCCTTTATTATTTATTATTATTATATTTAGATAGTGCCAACAAATTCTGTAAAAGTTTACAATTATGGGGGATCTGCAAAACAGCAAAACAGCAAAACAGTTTACAATTATGGGGGATCTGCAAAACAGCAAAACAGCAACTCTAATGTGGTATCTTTAAATGTGGAAAGCTCACATAAGGGAATCAATTTAGGGAATTATTTTCTTAATTTTAATATTTCAGTTGTTTAGTAGATAACTCCTTTGTTTGTTATCCTTATGTGGGACTGCAATATTTAAGGACACCAAAATAAGGGAGCTATCTACTAAACACATACACACACACACAATAACAAAAAAATGTGAAACTATACCCGGGTGCTTCCCAGCAGATCATACAAACAAAGTAAAGATAGGAGCACTCTCTCGGTTTTTCCAAGTGTATTCAAAAATAGAATACACATATTAGTATAGATTGTGATAATTTTTGAAAACCGATCGAGTGCTCCTGTCTTTACTTTGTTTTTATATATAGATATATATATATAGAGAGAGAGAGTTAATACAATGTTAAACCAAAATCTGCACACCAGTCAAGCCATAAGTCTTGCTTTTCCTAACAAAATCACAAATTTGCAGTGATGTTACTACTGCAAAGGATTCTGGGTGGGCATATGCAAATTAGTTCAACAAAGAATCACATTTTTGCCTCATTCCATTTTAAACATGGATTCCTTGGAGTCTGTGTTTGCTGTATACAACAGCTTTGAAACACAACTTAGTGAACCGCTCATGGTCAGCTGTTTCATTGTTAATGCAAATCATCAGCATGAGGTTGGTTACTGGCTAGCTTTGAAGTTTTGGTTGTTGCTTCGCAAGTACCTCCAAGCCTCAAAGCTTGCCAGTAACCAACCTCATGCTGATGATTTGCATTAACAATGAAACAGCTGTCCATGAGTGGTTCACTGGCTTTGCATCTTTTTCCTAAGTTGTGTTTCAAAGCTGTTGTATACAGCAAACACAGACTCAAATGAATCCATGTTTAAAATGGAATGAGGCAAAAATGCACATACTGTCAAATACAGCCACATGCGCACAGTCCCACACACATAGTCGCTCGCACACAGTCACACACACAGTTACAGACAGACGGTAACACACACAGCTACAGGCAATCACACGCACAATTACAGGCAGACTAACACAGTTACAAGCAGCATCACACAGTCACAGGCAGACAGTCACAGGCAGTCAGACCCACAGTTTCAGGCAGACAGTCACATACAATGTCATAGGCGGGCAGTCACAAGTAGGCAGTCACACACACACAGTCACAGGCAGACAGTTCCACACAGACATAGTCACAGGTAGACAGTCAAACACGCAGTCACAGGCAGACAGTCAAACACGCAGTCCCTGCCAGACAGTTGAACACGCAGTCACAGGCAGACAGCCACAAGCAGACAGTCACACACGCAGTCACGGGTAGACAGTCACACAGGCAGACAGACACAATCACAGTTACACACACAGCACACACTATCTCTCACTGACAGTATGGGCTGGAGGAGGAGTTCTCCTATGCATTTATATGTGTCCAGGAAACATGGTGAATCTGGAAGCCCTACAATTCCTATATATTACATTATTTTACTCATTGTCAGGAATCTGGCACGGAAGTTAGGGTCATTAGCTTCAATTGATGTAGAGCTCAAAACTCATGTAAACTGAGATAATCCCGGACACAAGAGAAGCCAGGTATATTAAAAAGACCTAATCCCTTTCTTTTATCATAATGTCTACAGTAAAAATATATTTAGAATTCTAGCTGTGCATGAGAGAAGCATAGAACATTGCTACATGAACAATGGGTATCCTGGCAGACTGGCAGTTTCTTTTGGACTCTGCCCTCTAATATCCCCTTTCTTAAAACATTTTTGAAAACCACTATACCTAGCTTCAAAAATAGGAGCATAAAGAGTTGGGTAAAGGCCTGCATCTTCCCAATTCTTGATAAACTGGATACCTTTCAAATCCCTCTATGGGTGTTTGTGCTTTATTTTGAGGTTATTTATTTATCCAGTCTCATTTTGTTATACTAACCACTGTTTAACTTCAAATTCACAGTAGTAGCAATTTTTGTAAGAGAATAGGAATGTTCGCTGGAAAGAACAGTGGTTTTAAATTTATAGATTTATTATTTATTCATTACTACATCCTCCATTTCTACAGCACTTGTAATGCTTAGTTTCAATACATAAATGTTATTTCACATCCACTTTATATAAATAGCTTTCATTAAAATACTGCAAATATAATTATAAAGTTAAATGATATAACACAACGGATCTCCTGAGACAACTGTTCGGTGAGTGTGTAATTTTAAGAAATTCACAGATTAATTAACCACCACATTCTCCCAACCTTTCAGCTCTCGATCACTTCCTGTGGGGATATCCGAAAGAGTGGGTGTACGTGATTAACCCGCGTACACTTTAGCAGTTCGAGAAGAATATCCATGCAGAAATCCAAGCGCTTGAGCCTCAAACATTAACTAATGTTATGAACAATGCAATCAAATTAGCTCGAAAAGTTTAATTTTGCCATTTTTCTGCAAGAAAAGTTTATGGAGAATTGACCTTAACCAACTTAACCATATTCCATCCATGCAATGGTGGTATACATATTTAAATTGTTCCATCGCCCCTTGCCTGGAAATGTTCATATTCTGCATCCTACATAGGTGAGAGGTGTTTCCAGATAATGGGTGCTTAACTACATCAGAAAAGGTGATGGGATTGACCATAAAAGAGGTTCCACCTATAAATAGACAACATTTGAAATGTTCATGTTAAAATGTAAAAAATTTTACCAAAAAAAAAATTTGCTTTATATTAAAACCAAAATACATATAAAATCAGGTAGTTATGGTTCCTCTTTGAATTATTTATTTGATTAATTTATTTTTTTAAATCTAATTTGTGCACGGTAATGGGTATAAATGTGTAATAATCAAATGATAAAAACACATAACATTAATTGATTTTGTTTCAGAATTTTTGTTTTTTTAATTTAAAGTACATTTTTTGCTCACTGTTATGGAATGTAAAAATAAGAGAGAAGTATAACGTTTGACTAAAAATATAATATTTTGCAAACCACTTTTATAAAGAAAGGAAACAAAAACCTTATTTAATTGAATATGACTGTATTACTGCACCTTTTTTCATATGTTGAAAGGGAGAGGTATTTATCTATCTACCAATCTCACCTCTCTGTGTTCTCACCTTCATTGCAGGTCTGGGATGACAATTTGGCAAAGTCTGCTGAAGCCTGGGCTGCTGCCTGTATTTGGGATCATGGCCCATCCTACTTATTAAGGTTCCTTGGTCAAAACCTCTCTGTCAGAACTGGAAGGTATAACACATTAAAATTGAATTTACAATTCATCAGTTCAATTACACCTACCTTAAATCTATTAATATATCACTGGCTCAAACATTAAGGACAGAATGTACATGAAACTGCCAATAGATTTACTAATAATCATATTAATATAAATACTATGTATTTTTGTGAGCGCAATGTGTTGAATGCTGAGGGCGACTGCTGTTATTCTATACAAAATCATTTCCAAACAAGGAAGAAACAAATAATAATATAACAGACTGCATTCTACAGCTTTTGTATTGTGTGTTGTCTTTTAAATCTTTTCCTACAAACATATATATTATGCATCATCTATTCAATATTAATAAAAAGAAGTGTTCTTATTGTTTTAGGGCTTTTAATAATGCATATCAAACTACATGCTGGTGGAAAGTCTCTTTTGTAAAACAATGTTGCTTTTGGGTCTTATGTTACTAAGAAAGAAAATTAGGAAAGAAACAAATAAAATACACATAAAAGATAAAACAAATTGGAAGAAGTAAAGAGGCCTCTTCAATTTTTCGCTTTACAGATATCAATCAATACTTCAGCTGGTGAAACCATGGTATGACGAAGTAAAAGACTATGCTTTCCCGTACCCTCAAGACTGCAATCCAAGATGCCCACTGAGATGCTACGGACCCATGTGCACACATTATACACAGGTTATTTGTCTTTTTTCTGTTTTAATTATACTTTGCGAACATTCATATCAATTTCCATGTTCTATTAGATTTTCTTTCTGCAGCTTCCTTAAAGGAACGCTCCAGGTACCATAATAACCAACCATAATCGAAATGTAGTTGGCTTAGTGCCAGGAGGTCCCTGGTGCTTCCTTACCATTAAGTGTTAACCCTTTCATGAAGTTAGTGCTACAGTGCTGGATAGCTCTACCCCTGTCCTTTCACTTACCGACATTCTTCAGATTTGAAGGCGTTTTTTATAAATGGGGAATTACTGACTGGGTTACAACATCAGCTGACTGCTCTAAGCCTATCAGTGGTGCCCATGCCAAACCAGTCTAATGTGTCCTTCAGAAGAATTTCTAAAAATGCATAAGTGAATGTGGACAGGACAGAGAGAAACGCTGTAGAGCAGAGTTTGGGATTAAACTGTTCATAAATGGTTCAATCACTAAATGAAGGACCTCCTGGCACCTTAACAACTTGATTTCAATGATGTTGTTATGTTGTCCATGGCGTTTCTTTAACCCCTTAAGGACACATGACGTGTGACATGTCATGATTCCCTTTTATTCCAGAAGTTTGGTCCTTAAGGGGTTAAAGTCAAACATCAGGTGTAAAAAATGTCTTCTGTTTATGCTGTAAATATAGTTAATTTCCAAAAAATTTTTTTTGTGTTTAATGTTGCCAAACACTTTCTCACATTATCATCTTTCCATCTTTGTATCACTTTCCACCCCTGCATAGTACCAAAGGCCTCAATTACCCCTTTCATTTCACCATAATATTATTCTATTTACACCTTTTATCAGTATGTCTGTTAGCCAAACAAATTTACAATTCAAAATATATTATTTTCCTTATAGTCTGGTCCAGCAGTGCACACTCCTGTTCCTTGAAAAAAACTAAAGTATATGAGACACCCCACACTCCAGCTGAGATAAAACAGCCACATAGGTTCTTATCAGAGCATCTGATTTTCTTACCTCAATGTAATGTGACATTTGCTTGTTTTAGTGCTGGAATGAGACAGTTGATTTTATATAAGTAAATTGCATAGCTTATGGGGGAAAAAAAACAATCTAAAGTGTATAACTTTTATTTTTAGATGGTTTGGGCCACAACTAACAGAATAGGATGTGCAATTCACACATGCCATAACATGAATGTCTGGGGAGCAGTTTGGAGAAGAGCTGTATATTTAGTGTGCAATTACGCACCAAAGTAAGTGATTCTTTTTCTTTTTGTGTAAAGTCTCAGTTAGGTAGTTGTTGTTAAAAATCATTAGAATAATACTTAAAAGGGCAGTCAAAGCCCCAGTGGCAGCTGATAATGTTTAAAGTTGGAGGGGCACTATACTCTACCCATGGCAATTAACTTTGCTTGCTGATTTATTGAGCAATGTCAGTTTAATCCCATGTACTCAACCTATGAAACAATGAGAGGTTATGGAAACATCCACGATAAAGTGTTTCACCTCCAACCCCTGATATGATTACGTAATGAGATCCTCAGAAGACATGGCGATACTCAAGCCTGTCTTTTTTGGATGTCCAGAATCTTATGTCCCAATGCAAATCAAATGGGTGATGTCATAAATCCTGTTAGAGTAGAATAAGCAAGCTTGAGGGATTCATATCCAGTGAATGAGATGTGTTTACACAACTAAATTACAAAATCCTGACAAACATAGTTGTTCCACCTTTCAACAGTATCAATAACAGGGAAAAAGGAAATTGCAGAATTACTTATGACAGACATAACAATTATCATTAGTCCTTGTCATGAAAATAGATTTTAATTTTTTATTGTAAGAAAAACTAGGGAGCCACTGCCACACTTCTCCCTATAGATCAGCCACTACATCAAGTATGCTCCCTGATGTATGTTGTTGTACATTATGGTACTTTTAATTGCTAGATTTAAATCCAGGTACAAAAAATAACCTTCTATATCTTATGTTTTAGGGGAAACTGGATCGGAGAGGCGCCATATAAAGTTGGTGTACCATGCTCTGCATGTCCACCAAGCTATGGAGGCTCTTGTACAGACAACCAGTGTTTTCCAGGAGTAACATCTAATTATTTATATTGGTTTAAATGAATGGATCTGGACCAGTGATACCCAACCTTGGCAGTTAAGTTGTTTGTCTAAAAGAGTATCCTAGAGTATCATTTAGGCTGTCAAGGTTAGGTACTGCTGATCTAGGCATACAACTGTTGCTGTGTAAAGAGCAAAATCTTCTTTAATATAGTCAGGCAATGTAATATATATTGCACAAGTATCAGAGGTATATTATTCCAAGCTTCCTGCCTGCAACAGTGAAACAGGTTTGGTGGAAGCCAACAACCAGCTATTCTACTGAAAGAGACAGTTAGTTATTATATAAAATACATACTTTTATTGTTTCCTCCACATTGTTCTACGGGATATCATTCTAAGTCAAATTTCGCAAAGATGAGTGTTCCAGGACAAACTTAAGCTCACCCATAGATTTTTTAAATACAATTCTTAAAATTGTTAGGATCTAAAGATACTATTAGTATTAGAGGTTGTTTTTTTTTTGTTATTGTTTTGTTTTTGTTTTTGGCACAATTCAAGCCTATAAGTCTATTGTTCTATTTTCCCCTTAAAATTCAGATGGGGAAAACCACTAATAAAATGTCCACCTTTCCCCCCTCCCCACCCCATGATTACATTTTATATGCAACGTATACATTTTCATCTGTTTTCCAGCTTTTTTGTTGAAAATGAAAAAGCATGTGCACATAGGCATTAAAAGACTCACTAACCTAGTCTTAACAATTTGTGGAGAGCTGGCAAGGGATTTGCAAATTTTGGGCCAAAATTAAGGAAATGGAAAAAAAAATCCTACTCAGCTATTTTACTAAAATTATACTGGGTAGAATAGTCTAGCCCTGGAGAGTGGAGAAAGTGGAAAAAATAGGGATAGGAGTATATGAGTAAAGGGTCTCTACTGGTAAAAATAAGCTCCCATAAAACCTCTTGGAAATGAATAAATAAATAGAAATAGGTATAAAGACCTACACGTACCAGGAGATCCCTAAACCAATAGAAAATGTAGTCTAAGAACATAAAATCATATAATAAAATAGTTGGAAGAATTAACAATATCAAACATATGAATGAAATACAATATTAAAAATGAACACTAGATGTCAGCCAAGTGTTAGGTGATCTCCCATAAGAGGGGGATGTTGACTAAACAATCACTAATCTGCAAACATAAAGTGTAAATGAAATAAATCCAAATAAATCCAAATTCTGACCTGGATGTTCTATGGCTGCAATATACATCTATACAGTCTCATTTATCACTCAGTAGTCCAATACTTTGTAAAATGAGTCCAAAAGAATGATATAACAGTAGAAAGTCTGTGACTAGTGTTCTGGATATCAGAGTTTGGTTGATGCCGGGATTTAAACTCGTATCAATTGATTTCACTGTCACAGTCCACACATTCAGTAACTGAGACATAGGTCTGCCTTTGTAATCTTTTATAACGTTTTGTTCCTGGACAAAAAAATAATATAATGAATTACAGAAATGCATTAGTTTGTGTGAAAGCTGTGGTAAGTCACAGAACAAAGTATTTTTCATTATTTTAGCATTTATATACTGCCAACATATTCTGCAGCACTTTGCAATTATAGACAGGGGATATGTAGAGGTGAAGAAGACCCTGCTCAAATAAGCTTACAATCTATGAAGATTTGCGGTAGGTGGATATATATTGTTAGGCGATACCCGTCAAAGTCCAACCTACATGGCTATTCCCCAACACGTTTTGTGGGGTGACTGTACTTATGGATCATGTATTTTTGGAATATGCTGTAGGTTTTCCCCAAACCTATGTAAGTACCAAAAGAGCTGGTGTATTGAACACAGAGGGATATAGAAAATTGGGAAATCAAGCCTGGTGGGCCTACAACCAAACAGAAAGGTGTTGGTGATTACTTTTTTCTCCACCTATATGCAGTATGGTTTAGTGTAAATAAATGGTGTGAAGGTCATTCCATCCTCATCCTGTGAGCATTGAGTTAGGAAATGTCCACAAACCCATTGGCTTTATAACCATTGGGATAGTTACCCTTTGGTCCTATTACAGTGTATATTAAAATGTCTTAACTAGGGCCAAATAGTGCCTTGTTCCCTGATGTACTAAGTGACTATTCCAGATTATTTGCACATCTTATTTTATTTTGATATGCACGTCTGTATCAAATAAATTTGACATTGACACTTCAAATTTTTTCTTCCTTTGAAACACCTTCCAACTATGAAATGCTGCTCATTCTGTGTGCTTGTTGCATTCAGGGCCTGATTAAGATCCCATTGGGCCTGGTGCTGACACTTATGATGGGCCTAATTACCGAATCTTATTGATAGAAAACACTAAAATAATTATACCTCCCAAGCGTCATGTGTCTAGTGCAGGTTGTGCTGGAGGGAAACTCACAGGATATAGCTATCAGAAAACACATACCCTATGCTAATCTCTCGATTTCATCTTTCAAGTAAATCTATACTCCCTAACAGCAGTGTTCGGGGAAGCAAGGTTTTCGGTGGGCGTGATAAAAGGGTGGGCCACTGATGTGAATCAAACATGCCCAAAAAGCTGCAACTCCACCAGCCCCTATGTTGATCCGGCCCTGGTTGCAGTACTCATGGAAATAATACAATTTTTGCCACACAACTTTTATTTCATATCTCCAAAACAGAGTTAGTAAATAGCAAATAGTGTTTCTATTCAATACCTGCTGGTATTCAATACCTGCTGGTATATAGTAAAAGAAGCAATGTCATCAGTTTTATTTATATTTTTTGGCATTTCCAGACAGTAACTCAACTAAATCATGTTTAAAACATATGTATATGTATTTTGTTAAGTTATTTCATATAATGTTTAACACACAATATATTAGTTTTCTTCTTGGTTTTGCAAATCATATTAATCGATATTGTGGTGTCTAGCATTGTCTTTTTTATTACAATGTTGGTGCTGCACTATAAACATTTAAAATACAGGATAAACTTATGTTAATTTTGGTGCTGGACAGATTTTTGTGGTGCTATACACATAAATGTGATTAGAAAAGGCATTTTATAGTATCGTAATTCATGCACTGTAATAACGTAAATATAGGTTTTGAATAGACCCGTACATTTTCATATAAAGTCAATAGAGTGACTTTTTTTATGACAGTTCTGCTAATCAGAATTGGCTGTATTAAACTAAGCGAAATGAGGTAGGCAACTGCTGTCCAAAGTGCTGCTACGTCGTCACCCTGTCTACATTAACAAAAAAACAGGCATGGTTTTCATACTGAGCATAAGTGAAAAAATACCATATATGTTACTGGCATAACATGCCACATACATATTTTCCTTAAAATGTCCAATGACTAGCATTGAGTAAATAACATAATAAGAATTCCCCCCCCCCCAAAATGCCAGGACTTTTTTCTTTCTGATGTAATATCAGTGGTATTGCAATAACCAATGAGCGGTGTGAGTATGAAATGCTTTGCAAAGTAATGCACTTCTAATGACACTCTAAAAGTTGGAGATACAAGTATTGAAAAGCCACTGATTTTGCAGCCTGGAATGCTGAATTACCCTAAAGGAAATATGTGTATAAACCCAACATAAAACTGATCAGGTTTCAGTACACTCATGTAAACATGAAAAAAAAAAAAGGTAACAAAATCAGAATTCTATTTATGTTAGTTTGATGTAAGTTGTTTTATGTTATATTTTCTGTCAATTAAAAAACCAAAACATGTACAGTACATATGGATTTTGATATACAATGGTGCTACAAAGGAAAGGAGGATTATAACATCATATATTCTTTTTGGTGGGTATATGGCTGATTATTTGGACTTGTCAGCAGAATGTGTTCTAAAATAAAAAATAAAAAAATGTTTAATGTACCTGTATACAGGACCAAATACCTACAATACATATAAAATCTAAATTTAGCTCTAGATTGTGAAAATGAATGTATAAGTGTGAAAAATGTAAATAGAATGAAATGCTGTAGATAATGCCTCTCTTGAATGTATAACCTACCACTCTGACGTAATATACAAACCGCAAATGTAAAGTATTTATTAGGATTAGACATAAGTGTGTTTTGTACAATGTCTGTTCAAAAACAATAAAAAAAAAACATTTTATTAATTGTACAGTATATTTGCTTGATCAATATTTTTATAGGATATGGAGTCAGTAAGAAATGTATCTATATTCTCCTTAGCTATGTACATAACATAGAGAATGCTAAGTCATATCAACTTTGCACTGCAAGATAAAAGTTGTTTGTAGGTTAGAATACAAACTATATTTTTTATTTATGATATATTTAACATTTATTTAGCATTTATTTATTCTATAGAGGTACTAAGATATTTTAATCACTCATATAGAAGCATGCATATGTCCTGTACTTGTTAATTTGTTCATATAAAATAAATAACATTGTTTATTTTAAAAGCATTGTGAGACAAATAAAACATGTTCACTTTCTTTATGTTTGCCGTAATTTTTTTTTTTTTTGTATTTTAGAGAGGAAAATTAAGTAAAAGTATAAAAACAAACCTCTGGTGAACCATTCATTAACAGAACTTTACAAAGGATAATAGGTAATACACTATGATTTTAGGAGACTTTCTCTAAAGAAGTAACACTGGTTATGATTAAATACGATATATAATTCCAGGCAATAAAAAATAAACTATTTAGATGAAAAAAAGTAACTGTGCTACTTTGTGTGGTTTAAATCATCTTTGTGCCAGGACATGGAGTGTAGCATCTCACGATGCTTACTGAGCATCTAAGACTTATAGGATGCTTTAAACACAACATGGACAACATAGACAACATGGACAATTGTTGCCACATCTATTGCTGTAGCCGGCATGGACGCAAATAACCAGCCATTTAATAAATGGCATGGATATTGTGTGACCAAGGCAAGTTCTCTAACATAATAATACTTAACAGAGATTATTTAATATTAATTAGCATGCTGACCCAGAGTGAGATCAAATACTCATGGTATAGTCAATAATGAATTTTCATTTTTGAAGAATTATTGAAATTTACTTCATCTAGCAGGAAAAGAGAGAGATCTTTTTGATCTAGAAAGGGATATATGAATGGTTATTGATATATAATATTTTCAACCAAAATACTGGCCAGGCAGGGTTTTGTAACACGTTTTAGACTAGGATTTGATACCACCATTTATCCCTTCAAAATGAACTCAATTATTTCATTGGTGTCACAACACAGATCTGAAAGTGACCTCTACCTGTACACTTGGCTCAATGTTTACTTTGTTTCATGGATCTCAGTACACTAGTACAGGATATTTGAATTTATTTCCAAACACAGGTTCACTATAAATCCCATACATACCTGTCACAGGGTCCAGAAGGGTATCCCTTGGCCAAGATTTACCCCTGTTAATTGTCAGATACAAGCAACACTAATTTAGCCATTGGCCATGCAGTTCCAGGACTCCTTAGAATATTAGATGTTTGAAACTACAAAAGGCCCTTTGAATACCCCCATGCAGAGAGCTAAGTCTGTAAAAGGATTATACCTAAGTTATTAAAAAGCAGTCTTGCAAGAACTCAGTCTTTAAAGGATAGGTTATGCAGCGATCTACTCAGACTGACTGACCTTGGTCCATGATGACAGTTTGGATACCAATGAACACTGAAAAAAAAAACCAATAAAATAGGACTTGCATGTAGAAAGACTGTAGTATTGAGGCTCCACTGAGTCGTTTTTGTTTTTTGGTTTTTTTTACACGTAAAGTTACAATTATTGGATTGTAAAAAGAAGTGAATTTAGTGTGGAGGATGACTTTTTACTAGCCTTCCTTTTTAAATAAAATAGTATTGTGGTATCACTCCAGGTTCTTGTATCACAATTAAATTTACAGACTTGTTTTATAATGAATTTTAATTCATCCAAATTTGGGCCATATGGGTTATCGTCCAAATTCCCACTTTCCGAAACCCTATATAGACTAGTCACAAAACAAGCAACTGACATAAAAATGAACATGTTTGTTTATTTAATGATACAGAGTTCTGCCTCTGAGATTATTGATGGGAAAAACAATGGGTGATAGCTAAGGTACAGCCACTAAATGTTGATTGTATTCACAGATCTAGCGAGAAGTGACTAATAAAGGGGAAAAAATTAGAAGCTGTAAAAAAATTCCATTATTATATATTATATATTTAATACATATAGATTTTGTTACTCCTCCTCTGCCTTTAACCAACCTCACTTAATCTGTGACCCAAATGGCTGAAAAAAGTGCTTATCAGTGTACTGCATAATATATACTTATAATAAATATTTTGCAGTAAACTGGTTGGCCCATTACATGCCATTTTCACTTTTCGATTAATTTTCTCGAATCTCTTTGGGTGGATGAAACTCTGACAAGCTGAACCGCCACATGCACAAAATCGTGTTGTCCCTCCAAAAAGGTATTTTCTGATGAAGTTGTTCAGCTAAAAGGATTTTTCCACATTGCACAAGTCTTATCGCAACACCCCACAAATTATTTCCATCCTGAAGCTACTTGAAAAATACTAATGCTACTATGATTGAGCTTTTGCACTGGTCTGTCTTATTAGCGTTGGGAAAAGGAATGTGTCTTTGTGTTTTCTTTTTGTAATATAATTTTTAACTGTAACGTTTATATTTTATAAATATATACTTGCTGGATATACTCTGACGTTCAACCACACATAATGAATCAGAAAAAGAAAGTCAGAGAAAAAAAAAACGTTGGTATAAAGTTCCACACCTTGGTCTCCTCTCACTGACCCACTCACTAAGTTGCATGATATGTTGGATACCTGGAATGTAACCTACAAAATGCCAAACCCAAATAAAAATGGAAATATAATGCAGAATACGATGCTCTAGAATACTGTGCAAAGCCACCATCCTTCATTTGTCAGAACATTTTGTACAGTAAAAGGTTCATTTTGTGAAGTGAGAACAACATTGATCACAGTGATATGTTTGCAAAACATGGATTAACTTGTTTTTGTAATATGAATTATTAATTCCCAAGATTTACTAGCAATTGACGTGTGAAGCCCATTTCCCCTTTCAATGATGCAATGTAATTCTCGAGTTAGGTTAGAGTGTACAGTTCTATGAAGCTGTAAAGAGGTGTTTTGGACCTTTTACGTAATGAGGCCAGTGGGTCTGGGGGTAACTCCACCAAGAAGAATGTGTGTTATGTCAGTACTTTTGTACTTGAAATTATACAAACTCATAATATGCAATAATAAGAGGTAAATAAAATAGTCTGAATTTAGTACTAATGAACAAACATATTCAACCAAAAGTATGATATAATACTCATGGGAGACAACAATTCGGAGATAATACAACATTTTTTAATATTTGAAATTATACCTAAATAAAAAAAACTTCTAATCTTTATTATCATTGAACATAAATTGTACGTATTACAGTCTCTCCGTGTATACATTTATGTATTAATTATAATTAAGAGTGTTGCTCCGCTCCTTATGTTATTAGGCTACTTTATAAACACATGTAGCTTGGGTGGGCTTAGGTGTGATAAAGGTCTTCTGGGGTCACAGTATCATCTGTCAGTTTGTCACTTTGAATAAAAGGACTGTGGACTGTGAATAAAAGGCTGCAGGACTGCGTGTTTCTTTGGTTATAAAAGGAACACCTTTGTGTAAATACTAGTTTAGCCTTCTCCAATGGGACAGCCACCTCGAGGACCTATCAGGTGCTGGACATTGTAGAGCTTTAGCTGCGTAAATTGTGAGTGGACTACCTAGGACTTCTTACTAAAGAGGACTTCAATATGGCCACCTCTATGGAGTAGGTCTAAGGGACATTCCAAGCACCAAAATCACTTAATCTGTTTGAGCAGGAATAGGTAATACAGCAGGTGTGGAGTTCATAAATATAGGTTTATATAATAATTTGAATTAATTTTAAGATTTGGGGTCACTAACATGTCATAGAACATGTTAGTGTTTAAGGTTGCACTTAGAGCATGGTATAAGTTTAGAAGGTGCTTCAGTCAGTTAGATATGAGAGGGGCCATTTACTCTTGGGCTGAAGCCCCTGATCTTTTTTTATCACCTTGAAACACCCCTGATCTAAATGTAAGGACTAATAACACAGTATAGAAACAAACCCATGCAGCTCGAGCAACTGGACAAATAATTCACTCGAACGACAATCAGCTACAAAAGCTAATTTAAGATAATAACCTGTATAAATACGTAGGCAAGGAAAAGCCTATACTCTTATTTTATTTTCTTAGATTTCAATGAGAAGAAAATATTCTAAAGAGTTGACCCTTAAACGTTCTAAAAATTAGGAGTAGTAGTTATATAATACTATTGTATTATTTGTTCCTTGTTTGCTTCCCATAAAATTTAAATACATTGCTATCATGAAAAATAATAATTCCAACTTATAAATGCAAGTCAAATATTAACTAGAAGAAATAAAAGTTAAACATAAAGGCAGACATAACTGGACCTTAAAGTGCAAATGCTCAATAGAAAATATATCATAAAGATAAAAAAAACAAAGGATTGATAAACAAAACTAGATAAGGTCAGTTTTGCATAAAATACTATAGCAAAGTATAAGTCAAGATCAAGGAAAATGGAAGCTAAATAAACTAGCCAGGTCAATATCACAGGTACAACTAGAGGGCTAACAATAACCACAAAATGGCAAAGATTCATGAATAGTTTGAGAGTGTCAGAATATTACACTAATTCAACTGTACTGGAGGATTTTTGGCTGCATGTAAATCAATATGGCTAAAGAAACATAGGCTTTATGACCAGGTGATTGGTGTAGGAAGCAGGGGAATGGTTGTGGGACAACAAATCCCCAGGCTGTCTTGCCCATTCCCTGCTTGGTGGCCTTGTGGGAAACCCGTCTCTGCACAGAATGCACATTACACTAGAAAATTCTACAATAGACTGTCTAATGAGTAGTTAATAAACTGATTACATAAGTATTTATATCAGAATATAACCTATCGTACGATTTTACTGCATCAACATGATACGAGTATCTAATGTCTTCAAGGATGGCTCATGTTATTGCTGGCCACACACAATTTGATCAGGGGATTATGACAATCTACCCAATTTAAGGAGAATGTTGATAAATTCTAGAGCTATTTGTGGCTTTCAATTTATATGAATCAGGATCCAGATTACAAATATTTAAACTGGCAACTCTGGCTGGCTATTATTATAAACATTGTGTCATTATACAACAGTATAGCAGAATCTTTAAATGTGTTCTTGTAAAACACTGTGTTCTACATTCGAAGAACTGAAACAACCAACACCAATGAAAATCAGCTTGACTCGATGATTACATAAAAGCCTTTTCTTTAGACTATAACACAGCACTTAGTTCATTGGTTTAATGGTTGTATCTATTACAATTTC